GATCCAAGCCACCACCAAATCATTTACCCGTTCCCACTGTTCAAAATCCGGTGAACGTGGGTGAGGTTTTGGCACAGCTTCGGTAACAAAACTGAGCTTATTCTTCGTTCCTAATGTTTGCTTGGCTGCATAACTCCAAGAAACGTAGTTGTCATCGGTAAGTGGCGTCGTGACCAGAGACATCGTCGATGTGTTCGACGGCAACAGCATTAAAGGATGTACATATCCTCCATAATCCAAAGCTTCAGTATCTGAATGCCAAAAATCTTCTTCTTCTTGCTCTTGATCCCGGTCTTCATTCCGGCGATCTCTGTTCCTTCAATTCTAAGCCATTTCATCAATTTCCCTTCGATTTTACAGAACTTCTTTAACAGATTTTTGGAATCAAACTCTGATTTCTGACTGATATAGAGCAGGACGAGCCTGCTCTGATACCATCAAGAAATGGCGGACAAACAACTTGAAGATCAGAGAAAAACAATGAATCAATTCTAGGGTTCTTGCTGCGGAAGCTTTTCTCCAATTTGGGGATAAATCAACTGACTCTATACAGACCGTATATTGCGGTATTTATACACAAGCTAACTAACCTATTGTCTTAGTATTTACAACCATGTCCTTATATGTACATTAATAACTAAAAAGACCCTAATGTTCACAAGTCTATTTTCCTGTACAAACCGGCATCAATCAGGCTCCAATTCCTTGATGTTCGGCTCATCATCAAACTCTACAATTAGAATGAATTTAGTTAAGTTGTTTTATGTTAGACATTGCTGTTTGAATTCTGCTCGATTTGAATGAATTCTGTCTGATTAGAAATGGCTTAGTACCACTTGATATTATAAAGGCGTGCAAGCCTATATAATAGCATGCCAAATGTTTGAATAAATACATCAGTGCACCTTAGCTCTGTACGGCTTCTTTTGCCCATTTTTGTTCAGCTTTTTCTTCACTTCCCCGCAAAGAAATTCATCTTTCTTTGATAGTTTACAAATTTATTTTTTTTTGTTATTGCCAGTATTCATAGTCTAGAAACGAATTGTAGTTTTTTGTTTTGGGGTTGGAAATTTTGATGTATAGATGTCATCATGTTGTATGTCATTGAAGGAATTGATTTTCACCGTTGGATATCTCTGTATCTGTCTTTTGTTTTTTTTTTTTCTTTCCATTGAATCAAGGTCTTTCTTATTGAACTTTTATCTTGCATAATTGTAAGTTTGATAATAAATTTGATTATTTGATTTCAGTTGCTTATATAAACGTTTGGAAAAATGCATTGCTTGGGTAAAGTACAATTACCGAGTGCGGTGATGATAATTTAGACTTCATGTTACGGGTTTGGGAAGGTATCACGATATTAGAAAAATCCAAAAGGCTGACATCGTGGTATATTATGAACTCATTTTGCCCATTAAAAAAATGCTTTGGTAATGCTTTTTTTTTTTCATTAAACTGAGATATTAAATTGGTTTTGGATTGTGCTTGATGTCCATAATGATGATGTCGAATATGAGAAATAAATGCAGATTTGCTGCCATTTTTGAAAGATTTTTTGTATACTAAATTTAGTGAAGAGTTAAAAGGCTCTTCGACGAAGATCTTGGTCTTCTGTTGTGGATGCATAGTTTTAGGTTTATTGATGATTGCCCATTTTTAATTAGTATTATTAATGTGGTTGCATAAAGCTTTTTATCCCCCCAAAATATGAAGGCCCATAGCCAGTAGGTGTAAATAAATGCTTAGAAATAAAAAATTTTCAATAAACATTTGTCGAATTGTTTGTTACAAGTTAGTATTTGTTGTTTTGTCTATTTGAATTTGTTTTAGAGGTGTTGAGAGAAGAAAGTAAGACACTAGCTAATTTTGGTGATGAGGAATACAACTTACAAGCACATGTTATGTGTCGAGGCGGTTGTTGTGAAAAATCCTATCACAATTTGGTTAGAAATGGAGAGAGGTAAAAACTTTCATCATCTCCTTAGGGCTATTGTAGTGGACACTGTCAGTTGGTTTGGATTTTGATTATTTTAGCAGTCATGCGATATGTTTCTCAATCATTTTCAATCTGTCCCTTCTTATATCCTTAGTAAATGAATTTAGCTAAACTCTATGGATGTACATTCAAAGTGATGTACGAGTGCTGTATGTTCAAGGTTCTCAAAGTTGATTCGGCTGCACATGAGGCCTTGCAGACATTCCAGATTGGCAAACATCCCAGCTACAGGGGAATTGGTAGTGAAAAAGAAGGGTATGTACTGGGCCGTTGTTTTAAGTTTGTTTAGTCATTTGAAATGTCGGTTGATATTTAGAAATGCAGGTTTTCTATATTTGGAATGATGTATGAGGTTTGCAGCTGCAATTTCATTCAAATCCCCGTTGCAGTGATGACATGAACATACACATCGATACTGTATCCTCTTTAGTTATTGCATAAACGAATCCTTGCTTAAAATCTTCTTATTTTTATGTTGCTGCGACATAGGAGTAATTGTTTGCTCTTAAGGAACTCTTTTTTCGAAGAAAGGTACATTGAAGATGGAAGTAAAAATCTGTTGAAGCAAAAACATAGCCATGACTGGGGTGTTTTATTTGACAGGATTAAGATATCATTCTTCCGGTGTTCCTTCTAAGGAGTAATATTATTTACTGCATTATTTATTTTATTTTTTTTTTGTCTAATGAATAGTATTATTTTTTAGTTACATATATCAGTTTGTTGATCGGGGAGCCCGGGCCAATTATTATGCTAATATCAATTTATTTTATTACAAATATAAATTTCAAGAGATCGTCCGGGCATCTGCTTGGCCAACCATCTCGTAAATTATAATAGTAGTTGTATATTTCTCTCATGTAAACTATGCATGATGCATAATTTCCTCTTTTATCCATTCTTATTACTTTTCTTTATGATTCTTAGTCTCTAAAGTTTTTATCAATTCCCAAATATTTGAAGTAATAGTCTAAAAGAGAAAAAGAGGTGCATCACTATTATCCGTAATAGAAGATATTCTTTCATTTTAAAACAAATAAAATATTCTCTTTCATGGTAGGATAACTCGTGTAGCCTATAAAGTCCATATGATGTTCAAATATGAGAGCAAAAAGAACTGCGCATATTAATATATTTTTAGGGAAAGATAACATTTTAACGGAAAAGTGGTTAAAGGGGCCAAGAATACTCCACATCACTCATTATCTTTTCTCACTATTCTTTTTCACTATATATATCATTTTTGAATATATGTTAACAAGGTATGATTGTAAAGATTATATCTACAAACAAGAAAAGAGTGGAGTTTATGAAAAAAAAATCATTTATAATTTACACATCCTCCATTTTGAGATAATAGTTTAGTTTTCTAAATTTTCAATATAATTTAAAATAAAAAGTTAAACTAGACACTAATTTCGAGACTGAAAATGATAATAATAAAAATGTTATAGATGATTTTAAAAAATACAAAACCAAGAAAAAACATCAACATTGATATTGTTTTTTCCTTATCTCTTTTTAATGAATGAAGTTTGACAGGAGGATTAATACCCGATTTTGTTGATTTTGTACTAATAGAAGATACATATAGGAGGATGTAAAACCTTGAAAAAAAAAAAATACCCACAGCCCGTAGTATGTTATAAAACTACTTCTCTAAATTTTCATGGCATCGCTGGGCTGGATGAGCAACCTGCGAGAAGATATGCATAGATCATCGTCAAGTAAGTGATAGAATCAGGTTTAAGCTTGAGCGCAGCCATCTGAATCTCAAGCAGCCATCTGAATCTCTTCCTACCCTAGCATTCGCATTCATCAACATACTTACACATCACTAGCCGAGATCTACTCCGCGCAGTGTGCGGAGAATTACATGCCCGTCAATAATTATACGCAGACACAAAGAAATACTATCAAGAAATAATATCACTAAATTTTACGAAAAGGAATGAAATGTGGAGAATAATATAGATTAAATCATGTGCTTTTTTTTTTTTGTTTTTTGGTAAATAACTGACACATCTGCTTTATTTCAGGAAGAATACACGGAGTATTGCACTTATTAGAGGAATATGCACAGAAACAAAATGGAAAACAATGGGCCTTTCTCATTCTTTGGGCTAACAAAAACAGTAGGCTTCTGTTCCATGGACGAACAGGCCCGCTGCAAAAGAATTGTCATGACAGCGACGTTAATCTTTTTCTTTTGTTTTTTGAGACAGTGAATTTAATTTTTATTTTATTTTATCAAGAGTTTAATAGAAGATATTTTGATTTTTTTTATATTTTGTTTAGTATGTATTTTTAATAAAAAAATTAAAAATATATTTTTACATTAGTTGTGTTCTCTTGATTGTAAAGAAAAACTTTTTTGTCAATTAAAAAACGTATAAAACCTGAAACAAATAAAAATATCTTATATTAAGAACTGAGGAGAGTATTTCATAAGATCGATAAATGACCAAAGAATTTAAGATTATTTCGAAAATCAAGCTATTAAAAATCAAAATTTTCATTCATAACAAATACCAGATCCATAAAATAACAAGCCACATTTGGCACCTGATATTGCTGTTCAAGATTCGACCAAAAAGAGATTCACGGTCCCTCGTTCATTGATTTCTACTTTATGGAATTATCTATTTTGATGAGTGAAGAATAATTGAAAGAACAAAGGTCTTTCTCTAAATCTTGAGCAAGGTACTGATCCTTTTTTTTCCCTTAAAATTCATCCTAGTTAACCCCACTTAAATATGAGTAAAATCTTTTAGTGGGAATTAAATCCGGATTTAGTACCAGAAAGCACAATCCATTCGTAACTAAATTTAAAACAACGATGAATTTAAAACAAGTCATTTTCAAATTCGTAATGTTCCATTTCAACTCATTCGAACAAACGCTCTCCTTCCAATATTTTCAAAATGTTCCCGGCTTCAGGCGACTGCTTTTTGAACAACTATTTGATCACGCGTCAGTTACGATGCTGAAAACTAAGACAATGTCAATCATCAAAATCATCTACACCATTCATAACGTAGCCAAGACAAGGGAAGAGCACTACATCTGCATCTGTTAAGCTAACCATTTCCACAGTTTGCACTATCTGATTCACTGGAGTCTGCGAAGAAGCTTCTCCATCAGCAGCAGCAAAAGAGGCGCAACAGAAGATTGTTTTACCGATCATCCACTAGCTGAATTTACCAATTTCCATTTTCTTCTTGATTGCCTTCTGTCCATGATAAATGAAAGAATCAAGGATGCCTGAAATGAAAACATCTGGCAGCAGAAACCAAAAGGTTGAAGCCAGTAACGCCAGAAAATGGGCATAAGCTACAACATTCTGAAGAGCAGCAATTCTTTCACAAGATTTGACATTAATTGCAGAAACTTATCTAATTAACGTCTACATCACTCCTACAACAAACATTCCCCAAGATCTAAGACTACGTGAATGATAAAAATAACGAGTAACACAGGCAGCATACACATCTCCACAATCAAGAAGTCACTTCCAGTATAATTGTTTAGAACGGGTAAATTATGTTCATGCCCTACACCCGCAAAACGAAAGCAGAATCCCGGGAATGTATGATGTTCATGAATGAAAGGAAGAATTCAGCCTCAGCAGCCTTAATGCATGATGATTATGCACGTGCTTATAATGATAAAGATAACTTTCATGCTCAAGCCAGTTTTAACATTAATCAACCAAAGAGAAAAATGCTTTTTTTAAGGTCATCACATAGCTCCGATAAGGTAGACGAGTTACCTCCAATAATAGCGCAGACATTGGTAAGGAAATGCAAAGATGATATGTTCTCCTCCGTAAAAGTGACCTACACCATTAAAAGAGTAAGATCGATCAATAACAGTAGATTCTCTTGACTCCATGAAAATGACCATTCAACACTCTAGAAAAATATAGATTCCAGGAAATGATATTTCTGTATCACAGCATATTCAGAATACACAGAGTCCAATACATTTATAGGAAAAGGATAGGAGACAAATCCCTTCAATAAAGGATTAGTAATCCTCAATTCCTAATAATTAAGAATAGGATTAGATTTCTCCTATGATGCAGCTTTTCTTATTTATTTTAATCTTATCTACTCTTGACTTCCTTGATTTACTAACACCCCCCTCAAGTTGGTGCATAAATATCTATCATGCCCAACTTACTAATTTGAAACTCAAATGGTTGTCTCAAGAGACCCTTAGTTAGATCATCTGCAAGCTGCTGTGTACTTGAGACAAATGGAATGCATATTATTCCCTTTTCAAGTTTCTCTTTTATGAAGTGTCTGTCAATCTTAACATGTTTTGTCCTATCATGTTGAATTGGATTATGAGCAACGCTGATAGCTGCTTTATTATCACCGTATAATCTCATAGGAAACTGTACTAGCCTTCTAAGATCCCAAAGAACCCTTCTTAGCCAAAGAATCTCACACTCCTTGTGCCGTTGATCTGAATTCAGCCTCAGCACTAGTTCTGGCAACTACACTTTGTTTCTTGCTCCTCCAAGTAACCAGGTTGCCCCGAAGAAAGGTGCAATATCCAGAAGTTGATCTTCTATCAGTGATAGATCGTGCCGAATCAGCATCTGTGTACACTTCAATCCCCCACTTCTCATTTTTCTTGAAGTACAACCCTTTTCCTTGGGTGCCTTTTTAACAGAATTGTAAGATCCGATCATCAAGATTTGACAGAAGGAGAAGAAAAAAATGAAGAACAAACCTTTCTAAGAACACTACTGAGTATCAAAGAAACTTGAAATCTGTATTTTTACTTGTGTATCACACTCTCTAAACTGATTTCCCTCATGTATATATATACACTTTAATAGATCCTAACCGACTTAATTTCTGTAAACTCTAAGAACAACAAATCTCTGCTGTCTAATTACAACTAATCCAGTCTAATCTAATGATCAATGTTCAAGGAACTTTGAATTGTGAGGATTGATGACTTGGCAGTATGATGTTTCTGGAAGGATTCTGCCAAGCTGGATCATAAGTATTCTCTTGATGTCAAATCATTCTGTGTGTGTTTTGATCCTGGACCACTTGTGCACGTGCAGATGAAGCTTCCTGATTTTGAACTGTGTTTTGGCGGGAGGCTGATGCTGCTTCTTCTGGTAAGTTCAATACCCCATCCTCAAGTTGAGCGTTCCACAGACTCAACTTGGACAAAATGTAAGAAAAAGAAGCAAATGGTAAAGACTTAGTAAAGATATCTACCAGTTCCTGTGATGAACTAACATGTTGTGGAAGAATGAAACCATCTTTGTACTTATCTTTAACAACATGGCAATCAATTTCAATATGTTTAGTCCTCTAATGGAAGACCGGATTGGCAGTAATGTCCAAAGCTGCTTTGCTGTCACAAAAGAAAGGAATCGGTAGCTGCAATGGAACCTGAAAGTCTTGTAACATGTATGTGATCGACTACAACTCCCTTACAGTTGAGGCCATAGCTCTGTACTCAGCTTCAGCTGATGAACATGATATTGTGGTTTGCTTCTTTGCTTTCCAAGACACCAAACTTGTGCCAAAAAACACACAGTATCCAGTGATGGAATGTCTAGATGTACGACATGAACCCCAATCAGCATCACTATAGGCTGTGATAAGAGGAATATTGTTGCTGGCATAAAACAAACCCCTTGAAACACTGCCAGAAAGATGCCTTAATACATGAACTGCTGCATTCCAGTGAGAATCATGAGGTTTGTGTACAAATTGGCACACTGCATAAGTAAGATCAGGCCAAGTATAATTCAGGTACAACAGTTTTCCAACCAGTCTTCTATACTTCTCAAGATTGTGATAAAGAGGAGTTTCATCCTTGTCTTCAGAAACAAACTTGAAACCACCAGGAAATGGAGTTGAAGCTGCAGTACAATCCAACATGCATGCTTCTTGCAGAAGATCTGAAGTGTATTTCTTTTGACTGATATATATACCAACAGAAGATCTTGCAATTTCCATTCCCAAGAAATACCTTGCAATGCCAAGATCTTTAATTGTGAAAGCATTATCTAGAAAATGCTTAACTTGTTGAATCTCATACTCTGATGTGCCAGTGATTAACACATCATCCACATAAACGAGGAATAGCTGGAACTGATTAGTTATCTTAGTGAATAAGCAATGATCATGATAAGACTGATTAAAACCATATTCATGTACTCTGGAAGTAAACTCCATTCCACTTTCTACTAGCTTGCTTTAAACCATATAAAGACTTTCTCAATCTGCAAACTTGTCCCTTCTTGGCTTTAGTATAACCCCACGGAGGATGCATATACACTTCTTCCTCTAAATTTCCATGCAAAAAAGTATTATTAACATCAAGTTGGTAAACTCCCCAACCTTTAGTAGCTGCAATAGCAAACATCAGTCTCACTGTAACTAGTTTAGCAACTGGTGAGAAAATTTCATTAAAATCTTCTCCTTCAGTCTGAGTATATCCCTTTGCTACCAATCTTGCCTTATATCTCTCAATTGATCCGTCTGGATTACATTTGATTTTATATATCCATTTAGATCCCACTGCCTTCTTTCCTTCAGGCAAAACAGCCAGTTCCCATGTATCATTTTCTTCCAAGGCTTTCAGCTCTGAGTTCATTGCTTCTACCCATTTTTGGTTTGCCCTAGCTTGATTGTAATGTACAGGTTCATGTGTAACAGACAGGTTTGCTACAAACTCATTGTATGCAGAACTAAAAATGCAATTGCTATCAGAATAAGAATTATCAGATGATGTAGAATGACAATGAAAAGTGTAGAAATCATCTAATGATGTAGGTGGTTTTCTTATCCTATCACTTCTTCTCAAAGGGAGAGGAGAAGGTGGAGATGGAGTAGAATTATTTTGTGAAGTCTGATTAGGTGAAAAGGAGTGATTATCAGAAGATTGATCAGGTGAAAAGGTATGAGGGAAAGATTGAAAGTTATGTTCTTCTGTGTCAGGAAAATTCACAAAAGGTAAAGGAATATCAGATTTGGCTTCCACTATAGAAGGAAAAGTTGTCTCATAAAAAACAACATCCCTGGAAATTATGACTTTATCAAGATTTAGACAATAGACTTTATATCCTTTCTGACAAGCATGAAATCCAAGAAAGATCCCTTTGAAAGATCTAGGATCAAATTGATCCCTTCCTAGACCATTATTTACTGCAAAACATAGACAACCAAAATTTCTAAGCATTGACAAATCAGGTTTACTATGATAAAGCCTTTCATAAGGACTTTGCTAGTTCAGGATCCTAGAAGGCCATCTATTGATCAAGTAAGTGGCTGTTAATATAGAATCCCCCCAGAATCTTTTAGGCAATTTTGACTGTAATAACAAGGATCTAGCAACATCAAGAAGATGCCTATGCTTTCTTTCCACAATTCCATTTTGCTGTGGTGAGTAGGGACAACTCCTTTGATGGAGAATGCCCTTTTGGTTAAAAAAACATCTGACAAGATTGATTTAGAAATTCAGTTCCATTATCAGTCCTGATGATCTTGATAATGGTTTGGAATTGTGTTTGAACTATATTATAGAAGTTTTCTATCAGAATAGGCACTTGAGTTTTGTGTTGAAAGAGGTAAGTCCAGGTACATCTACTGTGATCATCTACAATGGTCAAAAAATAATGGCAATTGGAATTGGCTTGGTGAAAAGATCCCCAAACATCCATGTGTATCAAATCAAAACAGTGTTCTGTGGTACTAAGAGAGATTGGAAAAGGCAGTCTATGTTGCTTGGAAACTGGACAAATCTCACACTGATGATCTTTACAATTTTTCTCAAAACGAATATTACAGCCATCTAAATGAGACAGAACATCTAAAGAAGGATGTCCTAATTTGGAATGTAGAATATCAAATGGTACTATGGCAGAAACATGATTACAAGTCTGAAAGTTTACATTATTCCTATTAGGCAGTCTAAGAGACATCATATAAGATGCATAGAATTCTTGAGATCTTGCAATTGCTTCTGGAGTGAAAGAATAAGAATCCAGGACATATAATTCCTTGATAACTCTTCCAGCTTCCAGAACCTTGCCTGTCTTAAGGTCTTGCAACAGGAAACAATCGACATAGAATTGAAAAAACACATGAGAAGTGTTTGCTAGCTTTCTCACTGATAACAGATTGTATTTAAAATTGGGAAGATATAAACATGATGTCAAAGTAACGGATTTAGAGATGTTAACATCTCCAAAATGACTAACATGTTTAATGCTACCATCAGGTAACCAAACTGGTGTAAAGGATTGAAAAGGCTGAGCATTATGCATTAATGAAATATCTACACACATATGACCTGTAGCACCTGAATCAATTACCCATGCATGTGTACCAATCTCATTAGACAACCAAGAACTAAGAGCAAAAGTAGTAATACCTGCAAACTCATGGAAATGTGCCATGTTCACCATTGGTCCTCCTGCTGAATTCATCAAACCTTTGCCCTTATTGATCCTGTCAACCTCCCTTTGTACTGCACTGTTGAAAGCTTGTACATAAGAATCTGACTCAGAATTGAAATCCAATGGAGTAATACTAACACCACCATTGTTATAAGACTGTGATACATTCTTCACCATTCCAGGATTATAAGGCACAATTCCTCCTGATCCTGCATTAGAGTATAACTGACTGTAAGTCCCTTGATTCATTCCTGGATTATTCTGTATTCCAGTGCTCTGTGGATATTCTATCATATTAGCAGAATTAAAACCAAGTTTCTTGTTCTTGATATGAGGCCACCATTCTAGATAACCCTTCAATTTGAAGCAATCATCAATAATATGTCCAGTCCTGTTACAATGTGTGCACAACAGGTGACTTTTATTAATCTTTTGATACCCCTGTGACCCTTGTGAACCTTGATTCCTACCATGATAATTCTGCTGTCCTTGATTCTTTCCATGATAATCCTTCTTCCATCCTGTGGATCGTGCCAACATTGCTGAATTTCCACTTTCTTGCATCGTCATTGCTGAGTTTTCAGAAGTTGCAGCAATGTGAACACTGTCATGCCTATGTTTTTCTGCCATTGTAATCATGTGATACAACTTATCAAGTGAGGGTATAGGATCCATAAACAAGATCTGACTTCTCTCTGGTTCATATACATCGCTCAATCCCATCATGAACTCCATAACTCGATCTTCATTTTCACGTTCCACAATCAAATCTCCTACTTCTCCTTCTATCACAGGAGTTGGTCTCAATTCTTCATACTGATTCCAAATTTGCTCAATCTTCCCAAAATAATCACACACAGGCATATTTCCTTGTCTAAGCAAAGCAATTTCTCTCTTTAATTCAAAAAGATGTGGCAGATTAGTCTTACCAAAACGTTGTTCAAGACTCTTCCAGAGTTTTCTTGCATCATGCATGAACATAAACTGATTCATCAGATCTGGAGCCATAGAACTCTTAATCCAGGAGCATACCATGCTATTAGCTCTTCTCCATCTCAATATAATCGGTGAATCATCTGCTGGCATTGGAAAGCTACCATCCATAAATCCTACTTTCATTTTAGCTTCTAATGCCGAAATCATTGCACACCTCCATATCAGATAATTTTTGCTTGTCAGCAACACCGAAACAATTTGAGTTCTTGGACTTTCCGATCCATGCACATGTAACTACTCTTCAATCAACGGATCAATCTCCCTTCGATTCTCCATTTTTAAGACTAATTATCTCTCAGAAATCAAGAAATCCCCAAATTTTCCTTCTTCTTGACTTCTAAATCAAGATCTTAGGGTTTATACTATGTAATCAAGGTTAATTTCTAAAATAAAATTGCAGCGGAAAGGCAGATCAGATTTAAACCTGCTCTGATGCCATTACAGAATTGTAAGATCCGATCATCAAGATTTGACAGAAGGAGAAGAAAAAAATAAAGAACAAACCTTTCTAAGAATAGTACTGAGTATCAAAGAAACTTGAAATCTGTATTTTTACTTGTGTATCACACTCTCTAAACTGATTTCCCTCATGTATATATATACAATTTATCAGATCCTAACAGACTTAATTTCTGTAAACTCTAAGAAAACACAACAAATCTCTGTCGTCTAATTACAACTAATCCAGTCTAATCTAATGATCAATATTCAAGGAACTTTGAATTGTGAGGATTGATGACTTGGCGGTATGATGTTTCTGGAAGGATTTTGCCAAGTTGGTTCATAAGCATTATCCTGATGCCAAATCATTCTGTGTGTGTTTTGATCCTGGACCACTTGTGCACGTGCAGATGAAGCTTCCTGATTTTGAACTGTGTTTTGGCGGGAGGCTGATGCTATTTCTTCTGGTAAGTTCAATACTTTTAAGTATCAAAGTATTCGGTACACTGTTTCAAGATGTTCTTTACATGGTGAGTGCATAAACTGACTTACCACACTGACAGCGAAATCAATATCAAGACGTGTATGTGATAGGTAGATTAGTCTTTTCCAACCAGTCTTTGGTATCTTTCCTTATTTACTGGTATTCCATCTTCAAAATCTCCAAGTTTGACATTTACTTCAACTGTAGTATCAGCTGGTCTGAATCCACTCATTCTTGTCTCTTTTAACAGATCCAAAACGTACTTCCGTTGAGAAACCACAATTCCCTTTTTTGATCTTGCCACTTCCATTCCAAGAAAGTACCTGAGCTGGCCTAAATTTTTGATCTCGAATTCCTTAGCCAAGTTTTGCTTTAGTTTATTCATTTCTTCCACATCATCTCCGGTCAAGATTATGTCGTCTACGTAGAAGATCAAAACTGAGATCTTCTCTTTAGTGGACACCTTTGTGAAAAGAGTGTGATCAGATTGTCCTTGCGTATATCCTTGACGTTTAAGAAACCTTGTGAACCTTTCAAACCAAGCTCGTGGAGATTGTTTGAGTCCATGTAAAGACTTCTTCAACCTGCAAAATTTTGTCCCATACTTATCATTGAAACCAGATGGGGGTTCCATGTATACTTCTTCCTTCAAGTCTCCATTCAGAAAGGCATTCTTCACATCAAGTTGATTTAAAGGCCAGTCAAGATTTGCTGCAACAGAAAGAAATATACAGACTGTGATCAGCTTAGTCACAGGAGAAAATGCCTCGGAATATTCCACTCCATATGTTTGAGTAAAGCCCTTAGCCACTAGGCATGCGTTGCGTCTTTCCAATGATCCATCTGAGTTATATTTCAAGGTAAACACCCATTTACAACCAACAATTGCTTTCCCATTCGGCACGTCAGCCATTTCCCAAGTAGCATTCTTTTCCAAGGCTCTCATCTCCTCCAAAATAGCTTCCCTCCATTCAGAAATACTTAAGGCCTCATGTATACTATTAGGAATGGACACACTAGACAATTATGAAATAAAGGCAAAATATGGAGGTGAAATATTCTCATAAGAAACAAAATTTGACAAAGGATATTTTGTACAAGATCTAACACCTATCCTTAGGGCAATGGGCAAATCAAGATAATTAGGAGAACTAGATTCTAAAGGAATTGTTGAAGATTCATGAGAAAGTTCAGGTTCCCCTACCTCATCACACTGTTGGGGCTACAGTGGAATGGTGCCTTTCCCCTTCTTTGAATATACAAGACCTTTAAACCGTTTTGTATTCATTTCCATAACTTCAACTGGTTTATTTTCAGAAGGCATTATCAATGGTTCATTAGTTTCTACTAATTTTTCATTTTCCAATGATTTTGCATTTTCTTCCTCATGTGCTAATGATTGGTTGTGCAAAACATCAACAAACAAATCAGAATTATCAAATAAACCATCTTCACTCTTATCGTTCTCCCCCTGAAGATGGGAATCACTATAGTATGAGGTTCCTTCAAAAAAAGTTACATCTATAGACGTAAACATCTTTTTCTAAACTGGATCAAAATATTTGTAACCTTTTTGATTGGCAGGATAGCCCACAAAAATGCATTTATGGGCCTTGGGATCAAGTTTGGAACATTTAGGGTCATGATTATGAACAAAGGCCACACTTCCAAGTATTTTTAAAGGGATGTCGGGTAACCAGCCGACTATTTGGAAAATAATCAGAGAAGACCTGGATGGGTGCTTTAAAATTCAAAATTCGTGTAGGCATTCTATTGATCAAGTAGGTGGCTGTTAAAACAGCTTCCCCCCAAAGGTACTTAGGAACTTTAGTTGTAAATTAGATCTCTAGTAGCTTTAAGGAGATGTTTATTTTTTCATTCAGCCATCCCATTTTGTTGAGGTATATTACCACATGAACTTTGATGCACAATTCCATTCTCCATGAAAAAATCTCCTAATTCATTGTTAAAGAACTCTTTCTCATTATCACTTCTGAAAATTTTGATTTGAGTCTGAAATTGTGCTTGAACCATTGTGTTAAAATATTTGAAAACAGTTGCAACTTCAGATTTCTCTTTTATAAAAAAGACCCAAGTGACTCTAGTATGATCATCAATGAAAGTGATAAACCAACATTTTCCAAAAAGAGTTGGCATTCTTGAAGGACCCCAAACATCACTATGAATTAGAGTAAATGGTTCTAAATTTTTGAATGGCTGAGAGGGAAAATTGCACGCTGGTGTTTTGCTAATTCACAAAATTCACACTGAAAAGCTGAAACCTTTTTATTCATAAATAACTTGGGAAACAAATGCTTCAAATACTGAAAGCTAGGATGTGCCAATCGATAATGCCATAACAATATGTCACTGTCATTAGAAATAGAAATAGAATTTAAACATGTCTGCTGGTCTTGCATTCCAAAGGGTCTTTTATGGAGTAGGTAGAGGCCACCAACCTGTTTAGCACCCCCAATCATCTTCCCCGAGGTTAAATCCTGAAATTTACAGTTAGAAGACGAGAAAAGAACTTCGCAATTATGCTCTCGGGTAAGTTTACTAACAGAAATAAGATTGTAGGAAAGATTAGAAACATGTAAAATATCTTTAAGAGTTAGAGAAGGAAAGATAGGGACAGTTCCTTTTCCTACAATAGAAGCAAAGGAACTATTAGCCATTTTCACTTTTTGATTCCCTACATAAGGTGCGTAAAAAGAGAAAAGTTGAGATTTTCCAGTCATATGATTGGTGGCGCCTGAATGTAGAATCCAGTATTCATTTGAACTGGTACGAACAAGAAGAAGGTGCGCTATCTATCTTATTTAGCAAGAGAGCAGGATGGGGTAGAGGTTCCTATGGATTGAGATTGAAGTAACTTGTATAAGTGCTCCATTTGTTCCTTGGTGAAGGGAAGAGATTCCGAGGATGATTGCTGTCCTGGATTAGCATTGCTTACTTGAAATGCATGAACTTCTCCCCCTGACTTGTTATCAAAGCCTTGTCTCTTCTTCAAGTTTGCAGGTTTGCCGTTCAACTTCCAACAATTTTCCCGAGTGTGCCATGGCTTTTTGCAATGATCACACCAAACCTTTTGTTTTCCTCCCCTTTTATCACCTTCCACATCTGCACTTCTTGCCACTAAGGCTGACCCTTCAACTTCAGCCTTGGTATCATTAATTTCTCTCAGTATCACTTTGCGCCGTGCTTCTTCTCGGCGCATTTGTGAGATAACTTCTCTAATAGAGGGTAGGGGTTTTCTCCCTAAGATACGTCCTCGAACTTCATCCAGATCTTTGTTTAAACCAGCTAGGAAAAAAAATACCCGACTTATTTCTACCTTCTTTGCATACCGAGCACTATCCCTAGGACTTTCCCACTCTTCTGCTTCAAACAAGTCCAGCTCTAGCCTAGTAGACATCATCTCATTGTAATATGATGTCACTTCACGTTCACCTTGCTGCATCTTCCAGATTCGAGCATTTAACTCGAACAATTGTGAATGATTATCCAGATCTGAGTAAGTGTCTTTAACTGCCTCCCAGATATCTTGGGCAGTCGGCAAAAATAGAAAAAATTTTCCAACCACAGGATCCATAAAATTGATCAACCAGGCTGTGACCATTGAATTTTCTGATCGCCACTGCCTATATTTTGGATCATTTGTAGCAGAGGGCTTTATTTCCCCATTCAAAAAAACAAGTTTCCTTTGCCATCTACCACCAGACGTATAGACTGAGACCACTCTAGATAATTTTTCTCATTCAACTTTTGATTGATAATTTGAAGGGAATTTTCAGAAACAGAAGGGTGAGAGCTTTGCTCTGGAGATGGTTCACTATTGTTAGAACCTACAGAGCCCACCATGGCAGCCTTAAAATTCATGATTGAGCTTAGGAGCAAACAATGCTCAACTATAGAGGAATACTATTGATTAGTACTCTCCATAACCAATAAAGATATGTGATACACACACTATCTCAAAATACTTATGCCAAAGCAAACCTCATCCAACAAACGTAGGACAAACCCAACAAAGAAACTCATGAACACACACATCATGAACTCGAAAACCCAAGCCAAAAGAAAGGCTCATCTCTCGAACTACAAGAAGTAGTATGAAAATAAGAATATTAGTTTTAAAATAATTCTATCAAGAAGTATATTTGACTAAAACGGTTTCTGCAAGATCAAAAAAATCCAAACAAGATGCATTAAAACCCTCTTGGTTTAAACATACTTGAAATGAAAAATGGACAACATCATGTAACAAAAATTCCTCAATGGAAAAACCTTCATTAGAAAGACAACAAATGACCACACACGGGTACCTTGAACCATTTGGCCATGCCTCTATTTCTAGGCTAGCTTTCTTGGTCACAAAGCACTCAAAAAGAAGACCAACTAGGACTCTCTACTCTTATCTCACGCAGGAGGAGAGTTAGAACAGTATTTGATCTCTTTTACTTTATCTAAAATCTAAGAAACCTTATCTAAATTACTTATCCTCAACAAGGCTAATTTTTAGAAGGAATCTAAGACTCCTAAACAAAACACTCTAGTTTAATTCAGCCCACATGGCTTATCTTTAACTAGATAACTCAAAAATAAACTCCTAGACTTAGACAAACTATAATCTCGTAATTCAGCAACCATATATGAAGTAAAATATCTTGAACGCCCTTCCAAAAGGTCGAATTTTGGTCTTGCACCCCTCAAGGTGTAGAACACGTCAATTTACTCCAAAAATTATAAATTTCTCTTTATTGACTCTTGTGAAGTCGAAAAACTCTAAAACAACCAAGATAGTTTGCACCCTATCTCAATTATGTAGCAATGGACTCAATCTTGAACTCTTATCAAATAGGCCGTCAATTCAAGAACCTAAATGACATCTCTTTAGCTTGTTTGATCAATGATCTTCATGGCTAGCACATAGAGTTAAGCTTCCTCGGAGCTCTTCAGCATTTATTTCCATGAGTGAATCATCTCTTTCGGTTTGATCCCCAAAGTAAATGGCATTATGATCTTCTTGATCATAGCTTCCTTGAACCAACTCCTTATCACATAGGTAGTCAAGATCCATCTTTTCTTCTTTGATTGGCCTACAATGTAAACTTGGCATTCCAAAACAAGAATGAAGGACTAGCTCATTCCATCCCCTCTTTCTTTAAGAGGATTCATCCTCGAATCATCAACCTCTAAACCTACACAAGGAACAAAAGAGATATATGGGTTAGTAAAATCCTCACCCTCACCACACTTGTTTTCTCTCATTGCGGGCATTTTTTTTTGTTTCCACGCTATTTTCATGGTTTCCTCTCGCCTCAAGTCTTACCTCATCGTGACCCTTTTTACATATTTGCGGTACTCTCTCGACTTTTTCTCTCCCTTGTGTAAAAGAAATATTACGTATTTTCTATCGCACAGCTTCAGCGTCTTCATAAGCCAAAGGCTTAAGAACATATTTCCTATCATCTTTAGTAAAGACAAAGATATTCTTCGAATAATGCTGCACATCATCTACATCTGATTGCCAAGGTCTACCTAGCAAAATATCACACAAAGACATAGGAATAACATCAAAGTAGATTCCATCCCTATACTCACCAACTTGGAAAGACACCATGGCTTTCTTATTGACATCCACCACCATATCTTCACTCAGCCATTGAAGTTTATATGGCCTAGTATGTAGACATCTTGATTCCGTTTGCTATGCAAAATTCCTTACTTATACAATCAGTACTCGATCCACCATCGATTACCAAATCAACATCATTGGACCAACCAACCGAACACTTGGTACGGAAGATGCAAGTCCTCTGATCACCATCTACGGCTCCAAACACTAACCCATGATCCTCAATTGGACCGTTCCAACCACAAGAAGTATCATGCTCTCTCTCCACTTCCAAGGCAGCATAATATGCCTCATAGAGCCTTGTTGCCTCCTAATCTTTGGGTGTTGTTTGTACCCCTTATCCAACCCATAGGGCAAACGATCAATCAACATGTAGTCCTCAAAGTAAGATTGAACGGATCTACCATTCTGCTTACAATTGAGCAACCTCACTTTTGCTTCATCAAAGGTGTTAGTTCCAAGATATCTTTCTCGCAAAGCACATCTTAAATCATTCCAATCATCGCAATTCTTAAACCAATGATGAGAGTAGATATTTGACACTAACTTCCACCAATTCAAAGCATTTGAACGAAAACAACCTATAGCTAAGGCTATCTTCTCACTTTCTTTCTCTATGTTAAGCAATACAAACAAGTTCTCAATGCTCTTTTCCTAAGTCTCATAATCTCTATGACACCCATAAAACAATGGTAAAGACACTTTAATCATGCCGGCATATGAAAGAGCTTGTTTTACATCAAAACGATCACATAAGACTCTTAAACTTTCATAAACTCTTTTAAGACTTACCCAAACTTTGTCTTACTGTTTGGAAAGCAAATGAGACAATTCTCGGTTCACCTCCTTCACCTCTTTCAAAGCATCATGCGAATAATCAATTTGAGTCTTCATGACCTGAATTTGGGACTCCATGTGACCTTTTTAGCCCTTTGAAGCAACTTGGTTACAACCAGCAACTCCGGATGACATCTTTGCTCAACAAATTCGAGAAACCACCAACAAAGAAGTAATTATGCTTTTGGAACTACACAAAGAACTCCTTGAAACCCTAGAACCAATTGAATGAAAGCGATCTAGTGTATTGAGAGAGGTTCTTCATGTAAAACTCTTCTATTTTTATACTAGTGAATGTGTTACCGATCTGTGGACGTATTATGTTGTGTTGTGCTTTTTATTGTATAGGCTTTGATGTTTACTTCTTATTCCGTTGAGTGTGTGTGTTGATTGAGTAAACTTCCAACATTTTGGTATGTAGTGGGGATCAAAATCCACATCAGAGAGTGATTCTAAAGATGATGGAAAGGTTGAGATAGCGCAAAAGGATGTTCGAATTGGTGTCTTTGGAATTCTCGTGCGGAGAAGAGAAGGGGACGACAATATTGATAGGCTGGCGCTGCCGATAGAGGTCTCTTGGGAGCCCTTGCCAGAATCAAAAGAAGCCGGCTTGTTTGATGCACGGAGATCAACTAGTTCTACTTGCTAAGCAATCATTTATCTCTTTGTTTAAATTTGGATGTATATGTAAATATTATTACAATATAGTTATTTTAATGTTTAACCCCTCTTCAGGGGGTATATGATAGTATTATTAAAACTTAGGAAGTTTATAGTATATCATGCCAAACTCGGGGGATAAAATGCAGTTCATCCTTCTTCTTCTTTTTTTTTTTAATTTAAACATTAATAAAATGAAAATTGAATCAGAAAATACGTAGTTAGGATGAAAAAATTCAGACCTCAAAGTTCTTCATAATGTCTATTTTCATTAAATACACATACAATATGTCGATGTTTCGCTAAGACGAAAAGGAGAAAATGTAGTATTCTCTCTGTTTCAAAATTATTGTTTAGTTTAGATTTTCACTTATAAAAATTAAATTGAATAATAATTTTGTAACAGGGGTGTACATATTAAGATAACTGCTAGTATAATATAGATATGAAAATGGAAGGTGGAATCGAGGATCATGGTGGAAATATTCATCCCGATTTTCTCTCTGGAAAATCTTCCAATGTCTTCTCGTAAGTTGTAAATCATTACCATAACTTTGTTCTAACCATTCCACATAGTATCTCCAAAGTTCCTTCAAAATCGAATCGCGTTTATATAAATTAAGACATTTTATTTTTTTGTCACAACAAAACAGGAACTCTTTTTTGCCCTGTTCTTCTTTTGAGGCTTTTTGAGTAATGGGATGGGAAAAGCAGCCTCCACCGCCGCCGCCGCTGCCGCCGTGGAGCCCCAAAGCCATCATCCCTGAAAAAGCTATGGGTATGACGCCGGAACAAATGGAGATGCTGCAGAAACAAATTGCAGCATTCATCACTATTTGTGAACAGCTTGAAGATTTGCATAAATCCCTCTGTTCCTCTTCCCAAAACCACCACACAAATGCTGATCCCAGTACAGATAATATGTTAAGAAACCTTGGAATCCCTTACTATACTCAGATGCTGAGTTCTTCGAATCATCAGAATCATCCCTACAATTACGGCGGCCAGCCTAAGATCCCCCGGCGTCGGCGGTGGAATCCGACGCCGGGGCACCTTCGGATTCTCGAACAGGTGTTTGATCAGGGGAACGAATCTCCGTCAAAGGAGAGAATCAAAAGCTTGACGGATGAATTAGCGGATCACGGTGAGATTACCGAGAGCAACGTTTACAATTGGTTCCAGAACCGGCGGGCTAGGTTTCGGAGGAGGCAATCGATGAGTACGATTTCCGAATCGGATGGGGAGACGTCATCAAAGTCCGTCGACGGAGAAATCCCGAATGCTTCAGATCAACTCAACGGCGATCCGAGTTACTCTAAGGAGGACAGTTTGACGGCCGGTAGTGGTGACGGTGGCGGCGCCGGCGGCAGGGGAGATGAGAGTTTTGGAGATATGGCGGGAAGAACGTTGTCGTCAAAATCTAAATCGGGTTATATGCCAGAACCCGTCATTGAGTCAAAGTCAAAGACTTCCAAAAGTATGGAGTAAATATAAAAGCATTTTCAATTAGAAAAAATGCTTCAATTTTGGATCTCAGAAAATCGTTTCTCTTATTGCTTTGATCAATCTCTAGTCTTTTCAACATGAAAAGAATTTCAATTTCGGAACTCAAACACCATAGTTTATCAGTTTTCCCTTTTTATTGTATTGATCGTTCTTTTCGTAGTAGTATTTAATTTATTTCTCGTAAATTTGATTCTTACAAATGGTTTTTTTTTCTCCTTCATACTTTGTTTGATCGCTTTTTCGCATTCACAATTAGTCCTACAAACATAATCCGTACTAAGGTTTGTTGTTCATATTTTGATAGCTTATTTTGCATTAGTTATTACCGGTCTCTTACTTTATGATATGTATGCTTTTTTCTTCTTTAAAGTATCATAGGTTTGGTACCTTTGCTGGATGAGTATTTCAAAATATTCTTGCCTTTGTCCTTCCATTTTGCTCTTGCCATGATGCTCATTTTCAGTTATAATTATCACTACTATACCATGTGGTATTTAATCAATTCACATATTTATGAGTTCAAGCGTAATATCATTTTTAAGTTTCGATTTTTTGTTCTTTCAAAATTACGGTTTATTGTCAACTAGCTATTTCTTGCTAGTAGTAGCCAACATCTTCTTGTCATCTCTCTTTTTCGACATTGTGATTAACGGATTAGCGACTTTTGATGATATCTGTATGCTTTTTATTTTATTTTATTTTTTAATATTTTTTTGTGTGTTAGTAAATTGTGTATGATCATTTCAAACATACATTCCATTCAATTCTTACGAGGATGAAAGTTTGCTAAATCTGCCGTTGTGTGCGACTATATGGTGTAAGGCTAGAGATTTGATAATATCAATGTATGACACATTTAATTCCAAATGCTTAATTATCATTTCGAGTTAATTTCATAGCTAGTTTAAAGTTTCTGTAGACTTATTTTATCTAATATATCTTGACATAATTATTCCAATTATAAAATAGCTTAGTTTATAAGAATGAAAAAGTTCAAAAAGCGAATTTCTTTTTCTTTTTAACTAGAGGAGGGAATGCTATAGTTAATTCAATAGATTGTGAATTTCTTCATAAAAATTGTGAATCAGTTCTTTTAGCACCAGAACGTGAACGTTTTTGAATTCACGTTAGAAGTATTCCTAAGACTTTAAAAAGAAATCAACGTGACAATCGTGTTTTATACGTTTCATTAAAAAAGTAAGAGTTTTATAAACGTTTAATGCTTGTCATTAACACTAACATCCAATCCAAAATCACGAAGTATTACTACCAGCAAAAAAGTGAGCAAAAAAGGAAAAGAAAAGAGAAAGAAAAAACGGAAACCACGTGTACAAAACGCCGACGTGTCGAATGAAAACCGCTCATCATCCTTAGCAGCCAGCGTCAGCATCCTCTTCCTTCTCCATCCTCATCCATTTCTCTCTTTCTCTTTTCCGCGGAAAAAAATAGAAAGAAAAAGGAAAAAAAAAGAAAAAGGAGAGAAAAATAAACACGCACTCACACAGTGGGCAGTAATAATAACGACAATAATCTAAAAAAAGGGCGTATATAAGGATTGCGGTTTTCTCTCTTTCTCGGGCAGTAGGGTTTTTCGTTATAATATATTGAAAGTAAATAGTGTTGCGGCAAATACACACACAGTCACCGCCGGTGAATGCGACTGTGTGTTTTTCAGGTGAAAAAGGATCGGGTTTTTGCTGGTCGGAATCATTTTCACTGGTTTTATTCCTCAGGTTCTTGCTATTCTTGGCTCGAGATCCGGGCCAAGAACACTCCGCCTTCGCTTCTAATTCAGGTGGTTTTTTGTTTTCTTCAATTCGTTTGATTTTGATTGTTGATTGATTGATGCTGGAATGCTCTTTTGTTGTTGTTTTATCCCGTACATTCTTTTGGTGAATTCGTCTGTGCGTATTTGTGGTTCGTTTTCAAGTTCTTTTGGAATGCACGTATGGAAGTAGCTAATTGACGTGTTTCCGTAATCCTTTGAAGTTTGATTCTTTTTTGTTGTCGATGAAAACGAAATCAGAACACCATTTTAGTGGGTTTGTAGTAATTCTTTTTTTGGTTTTCGATGAAAACGAAATCATAACACCATCTTGGTGGGTTTGATTAAGTTGTGTTTTTAATTTGTGGCGTGAAATGGGATTTTTTTTCCCCTCAAAAAAAGTTTCTTATCATTTTATTGAATGGTGTTCACTGGTTGTAGGGTTTCGTTTAGGGGGGGAAAAAATGGCGTCAGGTGAGGGATTCTTGACAGAGGGGCAAAGAGAGATAATGAAAATTGCGACTCAAAATGCCGAGGTCTTGTCTTCGTCTCCTCCTATCAAGTCCCCTAGGACTCTGCTTACGGAGCACCATGTGAAGGCCCCAGGGGGCAGTAAGACTTCTGCTGCTGGTGGGATTGCGGTTAGACACGTGCGGAGGTCTCATTCAGGGAAACACATCCGAGTGAAGAAGGGTATAACCTTGCTTCTATGTGATGATTCCTTTAGATGATTTCATTGGATCAAGAAATGATTAGCTTCTGTTTTGATATGTTTGATGGTTGGTGACTTGAAGTTTACTAGTATACAAAATGGAAAGTATGATGACTTCGAAAATTTTATTGGGAGAGGTTTAATTATTCTTATTTCATGTTTCTGCATGTTAAAGACACCCTTTTCTTGTGGCGGGGTTTTAGCTCGTGATTCTTGTGACCTTGATAGTATTTGGAATGTTTTGGAATATCTCTGGATTGGTGGAACTGTATTTAATGTAATATCTCTTCGTGCGTGTGTTCTATTCAAGTTTCCTTATAAGTCTTGGCGCATTTGTCTGGTGATACTGGGTAGATTGACATTTATGGAGAAGAGTGCATTATTGTTTTCGTAGTAAGATCTGCTGTGGTTCTTTTTTGTTTCTGAGGTTGGTTTTGGAGGTTGGAGTCTCTCCGTGAATAAATGATGATCTTTGATTGATGCTAGAATATGTATGGCATGCTGACATGATCTAGCGAACATTCCTCGTTTACGAGAATTACTTTAATGAGTTAACTAATGATTGTATGTGCGTTGACCTACTTATGCAACGGTTAATGTGGGGTAGGTATATTGGCTCGTGTTGGAAAGTCTTTACGAATTTCTGAACCTTAGAAAAGCATGAGTAAATGTGTCAACTTTTCTGTGGGGCCTGATAGAATTGCATTTATTTATCTTCCGCTTTCTTTTGTAAAGATACTGTCTTATCTGTCGGAGTCTATGCATGGATTCATTTTCGGCGTTGACTCTTGCCCCACCATATCGTATTTGACATCTTGGTCCTTTCTGGTTCTTTTTGGACCGGACGTTTTCCATTACCCCTTTATACAGTATAATAGCTGTTGGTATTACTGTGTTTTTTTTTCCATTTGTGGATTATGATTGGTTTTATCTGCCGCGTGTCGGTTTTGAGTGGTCAATTGGTCATTCAGTTAGTTGTTCTGTCAGCTGTCTGTGACTGTTTCCTGTCTGAAGTTTCTTACCAGTTTCTTATAATACCGTAAATTGTTTTTATTGTTTTTTTTTTTTTTGGGCTTGTATTTCTCCAATTTTGACTTTACTTGAGGTTGTCCTTGTTCGCATCGGTGACTTTGTCTGAGCTACTACTAATCTATTTTCCCTGTATAACTGTTACTAAATGGAAATTTAATTTTGCTTGATGCAGCTTAATGTCTGTTTTTGGTTCTCATCCTGTCAACAATGGCGCATAAAAGCAAATGAATAAGTAAATTATTGTCCTTGAACTGTTTGCTGGCCACCAGTGCTTATCCATACCGATATAAGAATGTGACATCTGTATTAACGTGTTCAGTTTCTGTTTAGATGAACCCTCTGGTTTTACATATGGTTACTTATTAATGTAGAATCATTTGCCTTTTCAAGCTTCTTGCGTCTGTTGTATTCTACTGTTTTTGGTTGCTTTGTTTTGTGGTTATCTTCCTGCTCGTATGGACCTTGCGTAGCTTTTTTAAATGTCGCTGCTGACTGGAAGGAAAGAATTTATACGTGTCTTAATGGTCGATCAATTATTGCTTTTTGAAGATTGATGATGGATGGATGTCCTTTTTATTTTTCAAGGATGGTTGGTTCTTGTCGCAGATGTTGATTGTTTTGAGTGTTATAAGAGAAGAGTTGCTGGAAAGCCAAGGGTTTCAAGTTTTTTAATTAAGTCCTATCTGCTTCTTGAGATTTTAGCAGTATTCTCGTTCTTTCCCTCTTTGTCACATTTTGAATAGTGCTGGATGGAGCCATTATACTGGCTTTGATTTAGAATTGATGACCTAATTGTCAGGATATATTCTCGAAACTGTAAGAAAGGTTTTTTTGTCTCGTTGTTTTGAAGATAACTGAACAGTTTTTGGCTTTACAATTTGTTTCTTCTATGATCCTCTTCCTTCTTTTTGCTGCATAACTTGTTTAGGTTTCCTGAAAGTTCTTTCGTGAATTGTGACAACAGATGGAGCTGGTGGTAAGGGCACATGGGGAAAGTTGCTTGATACTGGTGATGATTCGTTTCTTGATCGGAATGACCCCAACTATAACAGTGAGGAGGTAATATGATGGAATTTTGTTCTTTCGCCATTGAACTTACTGTATGTGCTTATTTTTGTTGGATAATAAATTTGCCATTTTGCAGGAACCTTATGAGCTTGTTGGAACCACAGTCTGTGATCCATTGGATGAATACAAGAAAGCTGTTGTGACCCTTATTGAGGAATACTTCAGCACAGGGGATGTCGATGGGGCTGCTTCTGACCTTAGGGATCTTGGTTCCAGTGAATATCATCCCTACTTCATAAAGAGGCTTGTTTCTATGGCCATGGATAGGCATGATAAGGAGAAAGAAATGGCATCAGTTTTGCTATCTGCACTTTATGCTGATGTCATCAGCCCAGCCCAGATAAGTCAGGGTTTCTTCATACTTCTGGAATCTGCTGATGATCTGGCTGTTGATATTCTTGATGCGGTTGACATACTTGCCTTGTTTATTGCTCGTGCTGTGGTTGATGATATCCTTCCACCTGCATTTATCACAAGTGCGAGGAAAATTCTTCCGGACTCCTCCAAAGGATTCCAAGTTCTGCAAACTGCTGAAAAGAGCTATCTATCAGCTCCCCATCATGCAGAACTTGTTGAAAGGCGATGGGGTGGTAGTACCCATCTTACAGTGGAGGAAGTGAAGAAAAAGATAGCTGATCTCCTAAGGGAATATGTGCAGAGTGGAGATACTCCTGAGGCCTGCCGGTGCATTAGGCAGTTGGGAGTTGCATTCTTCCATCACGAAGTTGTGAAGAGGGCTTTAGTCCTAGCTATGGAGATCCGCTCCTCTGAGCCACTTATTATGAAGTTATTAAAGGAGGCTGCTGAGGAAGGTTTAATAAGTTCCAGTCAAATGGTGAAGGGTTTTGTGCGCCTATCTGAGAGCCTTGATGACCTTGCCCTGGATATTCCTTCTGCCAAGACTTTGTTCCAAGCCTTGGTTCCTGTTGCAATATCTGAGGGGTGGCTTGATGCATCTTTCCTCAAGTCCTCGAGTAAAGATGGAGAGGCACGTGATAAAGAGGATGAGAAGTTAAAGCGATACAAAGCTGAGGTGGTTACCATAATTCATGAGTATTTCCTGTCAGATGATATTCCTGAACTAATCCGTAGTCTGGAAGATCTTGCTGCTCCCGAATATAATCCCATTTTTCTGAAGAAGCTCATTACCTTGGCCATGGATCGTAAAAACAGGGAAAAGGAGATGGCTTCTGTTTTACTCTCTGCTCTGCATATTGAGATTTTTTCAACTGAGGACATTGTCAATGGGTTTGTTATGCTTCTGGAATCAGCAGAAGATACGGCGCTGGATATCTTGGATGCTTCAAATGAACTTGCTCTGTTCCTGGCTAGGGCTGTCATTGATGATGTTCTTGCTCCACTAAACTTGGAGGAGATAGCCACCAGGTTGCCACCAAATTGCAGTGGGAGTGAGACTGTGCATGTTGCCCGGTCCCTTATAGGTGCACGTCACGCTGGCGAGAGGATTCTCAGGTGCTGGGGTGGAGGAACTGGCTGGGCTGTTGAGGATGCCAAGGATAAGATAATGAAGCTGCTTGAGGAGTATGAAAGTGGGGGTGTCGTTAGTGAAGCTTGTCAATGCATTCGTGATATCGGTATGCCTTTCTTCAATCATGAGGTGGTGAAGAAAGCTCTGGTTATGGCAATGGAGAAGAAGAATGATAGGATGCTGGACTTGCTCCAAGAGTGCTTCAATGAGGGGCTGATAACGATCAATCAGATGACCAAAGGCTATGGAAGGATCAAGGATGGGCTCGATGACCTGGCTCTTGACATTCCAAATGCAAAAGACAAGTTCAGTTTCTATGTGGAGTTTGCCCAAGGAAAAGGCTGGCTTCTACCAGCCTTCACCTCATCCGATGTGGATGCATCCTCTTGAGAAGGGAAATTGTAGTTCAGTTTCTCTCTCCTGTATGTTGTTGCTTATTGTCTTTTTTTTTTCTTTTCCTGGTTTAGGGGCTCTTATCACCTTGTGCATCGGAAGTGGATGATTTTAGAATTCTCAGATCCCATCTGATGTGCCTTCTTTTTTAATCTCTTATTTGAAACTGTGTTTTCTGGAGTTCTTTTAACTCATGTAAAAATCTAGGTTCTTGCTGTTTCAACAGTAACTTTTTATGGTCAAAGATAGATTTTAGTACTTTTGTTCTTGTTGATCTCTACATGCTTTGAAGGTGATATTTTTGTCTGAATTGGCTTTTACTCTGTAGTCTGTACCGTCTGAGATTTCTGAAACTAGATGTTGAATCTGTTGAGTCTTGTCGATGACTCTAAAAAGGGCCAATATGAATGAGACCAAGATCTGATTTTTGGGAGGAAGCTATTAGAAATTGCCAAATATCTTCTTTTTTTTTTTTTGCAGGAGGGCTAGAAAGTACAATTTTGCAATCTATGAATGTTTGTACTGTTCTGTTTTTTCGGTAATATAGCAGCCTAGCATATTGTGTACAGGGAAATGTCGCATAAGTTATAACTAGCACAACCGGTACTCCGCGCATGCGCGGAGTGGTGATTTTGCCGAGTGTGAATCTGTACTATTGTTGATGAATTTGAAGAATTGTATATGTATGTTGAAGTGATTCTGGTGGGAGGGGGTTGATTGAAATGTGTTCGTTTATTTAAGGAAGTGGAGTAGCATAGAAATCGTATTTGATTGAAATCGAGAATACTATTCGTAGATCGACTGTAAATTAAGACACACAATTAGTTCAAACGTGCATTATACTTGCAAAGTGAAACCAAAAGTAAGGCTATGTCCAATATATCTATTTGCAATGCGAGCATCTTGTTTTCTTGGAAATCAGAATGCATAGATGATTCTTGATTCACAAAATATTCAAGAGGAAAGAAAACTTGCTCTGGGACCTTCTACTAATTAAAGGAAGTACAACTAGTATAAATATAAAATGAAACTACCTTTCTGCCCAAGAAAATTGGCTTGTTTTATGTTAGTCCCGATATTACAGGATCCATCAAAATAGATTTATGCTGTCGTTTCCCACCCCGTCAGAAATATATTCCATCGCCGGATGCACTCAACTTAGTGGAGAATTTGTTCCAACTGATCTTGCATATCCGAGGCTCTTTGTTTCTCCTGAATCTCTATTTCCTCATAAGTCATAATCACAATTTACCCACCAGAACCGATGAAATACATTAATGACGGTTAAAGCCTGAAGAAGCGTTGCTTGGAGTGCTGAAATGCACGATTTTTATCTTCTGTTTTCAGGTCACTAATTTTATCTTTGTATCAAATATCAAAAGCCCGGAAATCACAAAGATAATACAAACCTAAAAAATCCTCCCTTATTCTTCTTATAAGCAGAATTGAGTAATAACCACCATTAATTATGCAAAGGAGCGATATAGCCAGGTTAACCTGGCTAATCCTTTGTACTCCCTATGTCCCACAAAAAATAGTCTATTTTAAAATTTAAGATTCAAACTAAAAACAGTACAAATCTCAAAGTTTAATGTGGACTATATCTTTTTTTGTACAGAGGAGAGACATTCTATCGCTGGGTAAACCCAACTTAGTGGAGCGGCACAGGTTGTTATAGCTAGTTACTCATAAAAATAAGAAGACTCGTATACTAGTTGTGTAATGCAAAACACAAATGCTGAAAACTCTAAACTAGAACAATAATTTAGCCAGTAGCATATGAAATGGTACAAAAACGATGGGAGAAAGAAACAACTAATGCTACAAAATTTACATTAATCCATCATGATACAAAATTCCCCCCAAAAAAGAGACGAGATAGTGTTTTCATGTCATGAAGCCAACCTAATGGTTATACTAACAAAGGGGTGGGTCAATAGACAACCTAAAAAAAAAACCAAGGGGTGGGTCAATAGACAAGAAAAGAATATTTACATATTCTAGTTTCCACGAAGATCAAGCAATCTGTCATAACACATCATGGTCATCTAGTTTTTGATGGTTCTTCAAGTTGAAGAACAACTCAATGTGCAACCAGACGCCCCGGAATCTATTACGAACTATACATCTTTTTCGGAAAAGGGCAAAAAAAAAAAAAACAAAACAAAACAAAAAGAGCAAAAAAGTGCCTGAGAGTCCATTCTAAATTGAAAAGATGGGAAAAAATATAACATGAAAAATGTAGACACTTATAAAATCAAGACAACAACATCATAACATAAAGAGTGAATACAGAAAGGACTGAAATAGTCCCAGGTGATTGCAAAAATGAACACAATTAAATTGTAATATAGTCACATGGTTAAATTCAAGTTACTTCAAGAGAAGGCCAAAGAATAGGAACAAAGTACAGGGAGGGGAAGAAAAATTTCAAAACCACCGAATGTCGTCATGCCCATTAAGGAAGGGAGCAGTTCCTGCTCTTCCCCTTGACTAGATAAACAATTTAGAATTCCATCACATGGTTCAAGCATAGCTTCAGATGATTTTCCTTCATAAAGTAAAAAGCGCCAATGACCCAATTCCTAATTAGATGACACTAATGTCTCAATAAGCTAGTGTCACTTAGAAAGGAGCAAATCAAGATTGTTTGACCAGAAAAAAACTGGGGAGGATATGACATGCTAATGCTAAGATATCATGCAAAAGTCATCAATGCCTGCCAAGAGCTACATTGTTTTCAAATATCTAAACACAAATTCAACACTTCAAAAACTCAATAACTATTCTCTCATTCAGCAACTTTTACAACAGTAACAATGATCAATCCATATGATAGTTCTTGTTCAAAATGTAGAGAACCAAAAAAGGAAGGTCATTGACTACCTGACTTTTTACTGGCTAGTTGATCTAGGAAGCAGGTGATATAGGATCCACTTTTTCTATGCTGATAGGTGTCAGTGGCAGTGAAGGAATCACTTCGTCGATCTTTAAAGTTTCAGGTGTCTTCATTGGTTTTGACCCATGCAATGCTGCCTCTATTTGGCCTCTGGATGGAATAGAATAACTTTGAGGAATGACCTCAGGAGACACCGGAAGGGTGGATGCTGCAGTACGCATCACAACCGAGTTCTTTACCGCAGGAAAGTCTTGTCCCTTGGAGATCAAGGGCCCTGAATGAATGATTCAATTTGAAGGCCTAGAGAAGTGAGCAAGGGGCATTGGAAGCTCATGAAGCTCACTAATTTTGGGAGATGACACAAAATTTGGAGAAACCCGTGAAGATAATTTAGAAGTAGAAGACAAGGAAGGCACAGGGTTCCGTAGAAGTGACCCAGAGTATGGATCAGGGTAACTGTTTGCCGTTATTGGACCACTAGCAGATAATACAGGCTTGTTTGGCCATGACTTTCAAGTGAGTAGACCAGAGAATGCCCGTGTTTTGGCCTTTTTATTATCAGATCTATGAGAATCGAGGTAGGGGGAGAGACCTTTTGTTGAATGAGAGAGTACCCGGCTTGATTTTGTATTACCATTGCTCTCTTTTAGTATTGGACCAGAATAATGAGTTACGATCTTCTCGTACTTGCTCTGCTGCAACGGGGACGAATGCCAAGAGTTAAGGGGAATATTACTCAGGCTAGCTCGTCTCGCTTGGGGTATGCTATTAAGCTTTCCAGAAATCGGAACCTTTGCTTCCTGTGGCGTAGGTAAAACATACGAGTTGAACCTTTGTGATGGTGAATGCCGCATTTATGCAAATGAAGCATCAAATTTCTTCGGGATATATGCGACCGTATTTGCTGCTGATCTTGATTTCTTGGCGGAAAGTAAGAGAATTTGTACTTGAACTTCTATCTAATTTTTCCTGCAAATAATGGCACAGGAATGCATCAGGGTGACTTTGAGAAGATGTAAAGAATCATGATTTTTCTTCTCCATTTAGTCTTCTAAAATTCCACATCAATGGCAAATAGGGAAACAAAATAAAGCCAAACTGACATATAATTACCTTAGCTGTAGCCCTTGAAGCAACTTGAGGGAATGTTACATTCATATTATCCAACTGCAAGAAAAAACACGTTAGACTTCACCAGTCATCAGAGTTAATAAAACAGTCATAGCCATTCAACCCTCAATCCAGAATATAAAACAGTAATATACTTAATTTATAACAAAACAAGTTCATTTTCACACACCATTTGTCCTTAGGCGCATTCTATGCTATAAAATCATAACAATATCAGCTCTTTGTGAAACTACTTTATGTTTCACTTTATTAGGAACTTCCACGGCAAGGAACCCTTTAGGCTGGCGGTGTTCTCAGAACAAAAATTTAAATTTTTCTTCCAGAGTTAAATTTAACCATTCAGACAAAATCATCCTTTGTTGTATCTTGAAGTTTTCAAGGATGGATTTGGCCACAACAGAAATGAGCAAACTTAATGCTTACCTCCATTGAGGTTCTTGTAGCATAAACATCTTGGCCCTCGTCATTCTGTACATTGTTGAAACTCAATTCACTGTCATCCCGTGATTCAGAGTCAGTCTCCACATCGCCATCATCATCATCATAGTCCTCATAGTCATCATTCCCATCATCTTCAAGCCCAAGAAATTGGTAATCTATATGTAGCTCCCCAGCAACGAGCTTGACATGAGGATCAATTGATTCGAGAGATTTGAGCGCCTTCCTCGATAACCGCTTGAAAACGTAAAAAATCATTTTCCTAATCAGCCTAATCTAAATAAGCGCAAAATACTGAAAGTTATCTATCTATAACAGAACCTGAGCAGCATGATGTCGCGCTGCTTGCGTTAACAGACTGCGGGATTATCCTTGCTTCAAAGATTTCATTTGAAAAAAAAAAAGTGTTGGCCTCTTCATCATACTCATCTTGAGCAACTTCCAGCTGATGAGGTGAAAGACCCTCGCCCTTGCTACTTTTTATCCTCCCTTTATCTTTTGATCGCTTCACAAGGTCCTCAAATATTTCGCTGAATATTAGACACTAATAGTGAGAACATTAAAGGTTTATGTTATGATGGAGTTCAAAAAAAAAAGAAAAAAAGAAAAGAACGAAAGTAAACCAATGTGTACCTCTTCTCATCGCATCGCCTCTTCATTTCCTGCAAAGAAGTGAAGTCATTAACTGCCAATGTAGAAAAGTAGAAATGATGTGAACATCCATGGTAATCAAGTCCAAGATGATCAAGGTGTTCGGGTTCCAAGTACTGTCCAAGCTCAAGGAGTGACTCAAGATCCATTATCCAACATTGGAGGCCCAATGACTCAAGCAAGAAGTAAAATGATGAGGAGTGCACTTAATAATCTTATATCAAATGGTTTAGCCCAAGAGATGTCAAGTCTGGAAATTACAAGCCCAAGATTATTAATGTATTACAAGGCCCATTTGAGGAAGGAAATTTCGGCCCACAAACCAAGCAAGGGAGGCCGGCCCTATCTCCTAATTTTTAGGAGTTGGAATCTCTATCTTATAGGATAAAATCATTTAAAACTTATCACACTCGTGGAAGGATAAAATTTGGAAGATTCCCTATCTTTTAGAGATCAGATCATTTAAATCTTATCACATGGAAGGATAAGATTTGATATGATTCTCTTTTATCTAATTTAGAGTTTATTCAAAATAAGAAGTCTATTCCTTGGTGTCTACTCTCAACCGTTGGATGGAGATTTAATCAAGATTGGATGGATATGATTACTCTACAAAGAAGATATTGATAGAGTTGATAACTCAGAAAGATTCTTTTCAGGATAAGGATAAGATTCTTTCGAGAGAATATCTCTTTGTATTTGGAGTTTTATTTTCAATAGACTAGTGTGTTTAAGTCTATGAAGGTGTCTAGATACATTGCCTTAATAGATAAGACACAAGTTGTCAATTACAGGTTATGTTGATTTCTAATTTTTTAAAGTAGGAATAGAGTTAGAGATCAAATTCTTCTCCTAATTGGTAGGAGAATTTTCGGCCCACTCTACTATAAATTGGGGTGCTTGGCCAGCATTTCATTTGTACCTTTGATGAATTGGATATTTCAATATGAGACGAGAGGAAACTCTTTGTTCTTTTTCTATTCTTTTCGAAGATTAGTGCATTGCACACAAGCTTGTGCTTTGTTGATGCATGCGAGTAGAATAGGTGTCTCTCTACTTGTTGAGCTTTGTTAGTTGTTCATTGGAGCCTTTTCGCTAGCCGTTCTATCCATAAATCGAAAGGATAGGGTTGTTAGAGAGGTGACCGATTGGGTTGGTAACCTTAAACACTTTCTACATCTTCTAAACCTTTCCATCCCTTTTTGGTGCAAATTTTTGTGGTTTGCACCTCTTCTTTCCTTTTATTTTTCGTGAGTTTGGAGTCCATAATATTGAATTTACAAGTTTTCAAGTCCTGGGAAATTCATAGCTTCCGCGTCGAGGTAAATCTGCCACCTTTGCCTCAAGATTCGTATCAATTGGCCTCAGAGCTTAATTTCTTGAAGACTTGTTTTTATTTTGATCTACTAAACCTCATCTTTGGTTAGATCTCTAATTGTTCTTTTGAATTTTTGAGTCTTTTATTATAGATCTCATTATTTTGCTTCGATTGTATTCTTGTTTGATTTGATTGAAGTTGTGATAGTTAGATCCATTATTTTTAGTAAAAAAAACATTTTTCTCCTAAATTATCGGATCTAGGGTATCTTAATCCCTAATCCACTTTTTTTTAGTAAAAAAAAAAATAGCCGTGAAAAAAATAAAGTAAAAACAGAAAGAAAGACGGCATAGAAGGATATTGGTATTTGAGTTTGATTTGAAGTGCAATTACTATTATTTGCACATATCTTTTTCGAAATACTTAGATCTTTGGCTGCTAGGGTTTCACAAATATAAGCCCTTTATTTGTGTATTGGCCGAAATAGGGTTTTGTCTATAACCCTAAGTCGAAGCTTTTATTTTTCAGAATTTGCTCCAAGTTCTATTAGCCTTTTTGTGAGATATAAGTTTTTATAATTGTAACTACTCAATCTATATTCGTTTTCTTCCTTAGATCTTGTTACAATTATTTTCAGAACCTTACTTTTTGATCCTCTTTATTTGCTTCAATAAAGTACTTCTTGTAGCACTAGTCTTCATTGCACAAAGGATTAAAAGACAAAGACAGTGGTAAGAATAGAGTGAATCCATTCCTTAATAAATTCTAAACCTTCTTGAGAGATCTTGGGGAGTGAATAGAATAGTTGGGAGGGGTAACCAGGAAGTGAGTTCTTCGATATTCTTTTTCTAGTGTGTGTTGAGTTGTGTTTCAGGAAACATGGGAGACAAAGCTCTACCTCCTCCTCAACATGGAATGCTGAATGATACTCTGCAAGATTTTAAAGATAAGATTACGACATTAACCAATCAATTGCAACTTATGACGATGGCAATGGCACAACAACAACGACGACAAGAAGAGACCACTCGCCAACAAGAAGAAACTGCTCGTCAATTAAACCAACTTGCCAAAGTTAGGGATCCATTGGTAAATCCTGGACCTAACCTTGTTGCACGTAGGAACATCCATGGCGGACGTGGCAATGCCAGACATGGTCAAGGTGGTGGACGTGGTAATGAAGGACAAGATGGTGACTGAGAAGAAGAAGGTCAAGGAGAGCGAGAAGAAATTCCAAGGGAACAAAATGATGATGGTGTTGAGCATGAAGAAGGATTTAGGCATGATCGACAAAGGCAACCTAGATTTGATGATAACATGAACACTATCAAGTAGAAGATTCCAGAATTTCGTGGCAAGCCAGATCCTGATGCGTATATTGATTGGGAAGATCATATCAACCGGATCTTTAATCTCAATAATTATTCTGAGGGAAAGAAGCTGAATTTAGCTGTGTCAGAATTTCATGGATATGCTTCTACATGGTAGAATGAGGTACAACGTCGGAGAAGAAGAGACAATGATCCCGCAATCACCACTTGGGGAGAGCTTTCACGTGTAATGCGAAAGGCTTTTGTCCCAGCATCCTTTCAAAGGAAGCTTCGAGGTGAGTTGCAAGATGTTAAGCAATGAAGTAGTTCGGTCATGGAATACTACCAAGACATGAATACTTTGAAGCTTAAATGTCAATTGGAAGAAGATGAGGAACAAAGTACAACAAGGTTTCTACATGGTTTGAACCTTCCCATTCGACATGGAGTGGAGTTACAGTCTTATCATGATCTAGATGATTTTGTGGATAAGGCCGACACTATTGAAAGACAAATGAAGGAATCTTCGACCGCAAGCAGAGCAAGGACATCTTCCACTAGTACATCATCCTTTGGATCAAATCGGTGGGGGGAGACTCCTAAGAAGCAGGCGGCTCCAAGTTCTAGTCAACCTAAATAGTTGCTTAAACCGCCCGACATTACCAAGTCATTGGAGAAGACACCTAGTGTCAAACCGGGTTCATCTGCCAATGTACAGTGCTTCAAGTGTAAAGGAAGAGGACATTATGCATCTGATTGTCCCAATAAGAAGGTAATGGTACTTCGAGATGATTGGTACTATGAAAGTGAAGAAGCAGATGTGCACGATCAATCTAATATGGTTTTAGCAACAACCGAGCAAGCTACAACTAGTCAAATGTATGATAAGGGAGTTTCTGAGAGTGAAGATGAGGTTGTCTATGAGGAAGACGGATCTCGAGCTATGGTACTAGCTCATGCTCTTAGTATCCAGCCAGCTCAAGACAAAAATCTTGAGCAACTCACCAATAGTTTTCATATAAGGTGTAAGGTGAATAATAAGATGTGTCTTGTGATTGTGGATGGAGGAAGTTGCACAAACTGTGTGAGCATGGAACTTGTCAAGAAATTGAACCTTCCTACGTTCAAGCATCCTCAGCCTTACAAGTTGTAATGGTTAGATGATCGTGGAGAAATTAAGGTACGGTCGCAAGCTCGCTTACTCTTATGTTTTAAAACGTTCCAGGATGAAGTTCTTTGTGATGTGGTTCCAATGCAAGCATGTCATATATTGTTGGGACGTCCATGAGAGTTTGATCAAGGTGCTAACAAAGATGGAAAGACAAATCAGTATTCACTTGTGCATAAGGATTTGTCTATTGTATTGTGTCCGTTATCTCCTATGAATATCATGGAATCTCAGAAAAAAATGCAAAGAGAGAGAGAGAAAAGACATAAAAGTGAGTCGAAAGAGTCAAAAGAGAGTTTGGGGAATGGGAGAGAATCAAAAGTGAGTGAGAGTTTGAGAGAAAAGCCAAAAGCTGGGGCGAGAAAAGACAGCTTTTATGCTTCTATGGGAGACCTTGGGAGGGCTCTAAATACTCGCACTCCACTTGTTTTAATTGTTTACAAGGATTTATGTTTAACTAACACTAACCCCATTGAAAATATTCCTAGTGTTGTTAAATATGTTTTGCAGGATTATGAGGATGTTTTTCCAGAATAATTGCCAAAGGGACTTCCACCTTTGAGGGGAATTGAGCATCAAATTGATTTTATCCCAGGATCAGTAATTCCTAATCGTCCTGCATACAAGGCGAACCCCGAGGAGACCAAGGAACTGCAACATCAAGTCGGGGAACTCCTTGACAAAGGTATGGTTCGTGAATCTTTAAGTCCTTGTGTAGTGCCTGTCATTTTAGTTCCTAAGAAAGATGGAACGTGACGTGTGTGTGTGGATTGTCGTGCTGTGAATAAAATTACTATTAAATATAGACATCCCATACCTAGGCTAGATGACATGTTAGAAGATCTATGTGGCTCTTGCATATTTTCTAAAATAGATCTTACTAGTGGCTATCATCAATTTCGCATGAAAGAGGGTGATGAATGGAAAACCGCTTTTAAAACTAAATTTGGTTTCAATGAGTAGATGGTTATGCCTTTTGGTTTGACTAACGCTCCTTCTATTTTTATACGTCTTATGAACTATGAGCTTAGACCTTATATAGGTGTTGTTGTGGTTTATTTGGATGATATTTTAGTGTATAGTAGAGATGAAATTTCGCATGCTAAATATCTTTCGAGTGTGCTCTCTGCTTTACGTGAAAATAAACTTTATGTTAAACTTGCTAAGTGTACTTTCTGTGTACCAGAAGTTATTTTTCTTGGTTTTGTTGTTAGCAAGGATGGTGTTAAAGTTGACGAGGCTAAGGTTAAGGCAATTCTAGAATGGCCTACACCTAAGTCTCTCTGACATTCGTTCCTTCCATGGTTTAGCTAGTTTTTATCGTAGGTTTGTGAAAGATTTCTCTACTAAGGCTGCACCCTTAAATCACTTAGTAAAGAAGAATGTTAGGTTTGAATGGGTGAAGAACAAGAACTTGCATTTAACACTTTAAAGAATGATTTAACTTGTGCTCCTGTTTTTGCATTACCTAATTTTGATCTTATGTTTGAGATTGAGTGTGATGCATCTGGGGTTGGAATTGGTGCTGCATTAATGCAGAGAGGTAAGCCTATTGCGTACTTTTTGGAAAAATTAAGTGGTGCAACATTGAATTATCCTACTTATGATAAAGAATTGTATGCTGTAATTAGCGCTTTAGAAAATTGGCAACACTATTTAATGCCAAAAGAATTTGTTATCCATAGTGACTATGAGTCTTTAAAATATTTGTATGGACAAAACAAACTGAATAAGAGACATACTAAATGGAGTGCATTTCTTAAATCTTTTCCTTATGTCATTAAGTACAAGAAGGGAAAAGAGAATGTGGTGGCTGATGCATTGTCTCGTAGATCGTATGTACTTTCTATGCTTGATTCTAAGTTATTAGGGATTGAATACATCAAGGATTTGTATGCTACTGATTCTGATTTTTCATCCATTTTTGAAGCATGTGAAAGTGGCGCATTTAACAAGTTTTATAGGCATGAGGGTTTCTTGTTTAAAGATAATAATTTATGTGTGCCTGCTTGTTATCTTCATGAACTATTAGTGTGTGAATCTCATAGTGGTGGTCTTATGGGTCATTTTGGTATCTTGAAAACTTATGATGTTTTATGTGAGCATTTTTATTGGCCTAATATGAAACGTGACGTAGAAAAAGTTTGTTCTACTTGTATTGAGTACAAACAAGCACAGTCTAAGTCACAACCACATGGGTTATATACGCCTTTACCTGTACCTACCCACCCTTGGATTGATATTTCAATGGACTTTGTTTTGGGATTACCTAAATCTCAAAAAGGGTGTGATTCAGTTTTTGTGGTAGTTGATAGGTTTTCTAAGATGGCATATTTTATTCCTTGTCATAAATCTGATGATGCCAAGCATGAAGCTGATCTATTTATGCGTGAAATTGTTAGATTACATGGTTTACCTAGAACTATTATGTCTGACAGAGATGTTAGATTTTTGAGCTACTTTTGGAAAACTTTGTGGGGGAAAACCAGGTACAAAACTGTTGTTTTCAACTGTTCATGCTTAAACAGATGGCCAGACGGAGGTGGTTAATCGGACTCTTGGTTCTTTGTTACGTGTTTTGATCCAAAAGATCATAAGAATTGGGAAGCATGTTTACCCATTGCTGAATTCGCATATAATCGTGTTGTGCATTCTACTACCCAACATTCTCCGTTTGAAATTGTTTATGGATTTAACCCCTTAATCCCTTTAGACTTGTCTCCATTGCCTGTCTCTGAGTATTTTAATGCAGATGGAGCCAAGAAAGCTGAGTATGTACGTTCTCTTCATGAGAAAGTACACATGAATATTTTTAAGAGAAATGAGCATGTTGCGCTGATTGCCAACAAGTGGTGTAAGGAAATGATATTCGAACCTGGTGATTGGGTTTGGGTTCATTTAAGGAAGATTCGGTTTCCTACAAAGGTTAAATCGAAGTTAGATCCTCGTGGAGCTGGTCCTTTCCAAGTTGTCAAGCGTTTGAACAACAATGCTTATCAACTTGACCTTCCTGGTGAGTATAATGTTAGTGTGACTTTTAATGTTTCTGATTTATCTCCGTTTGATTTCTCAGATGTTTGAACTATACAAGCTTTAGATTCGAGGTCAAATCTTTTCGAAGAAGGAGGGAATGATGTGAACATCCATGGTAATCAAGTCCAAGATGATCAAGGTGTTCGGGTTCCAAGTATTGTCCAAGTTCAAGGAGTGGCTCAAGATCCATTATCCGATGTTGGAGGCCCAATGACTCAATCTAGAAGTAAAAGGATGAGGAGTGTACTTAATAATCTTGTATCAAATGGTTTAGCCTAAGAGAATGTGAAGTCTGGAAGTTACAAGTCCAATATTATTAATGTGTTACAAGGCCCATTTGAGGAAGGAAATTTCGGCCCATAAACCAAGCAAGGGAGGCTGACCCTATCTCCTAATTTTTAGGAGTTGGAATCTCTATCTTTTAGAAATAAAATCATTTAAATCTTCTCACACTTGTGGAAGGATAAGATTTGGAAGATTCCCTATCTTTTAGAGATAAGATCATTTAAATCTTATCACATAGAAGGATAAGATTTGATATGATTCTCTTTTATCTAATTTAGAGTTTATTCAAAATAAGAAGTTTATTCCTTGGTGTCTACTCTCAAGCGTTGGATGGAGATTAGATCAAGATTGGATGCCTATGATTACTCTACATAGAAGATATTGATAGAGTTGATAACTCAGGAAGATTCTTTTCAAGATAAAGACAAGATTCTTTTGAGAGAACATTTCTTTGTATTTGGAGTTTTATTTTCAATAGACTAGTGTGTCTTACGTCTATAAAGGTGTCTAGATACATTGCCTTAATAGATAAGACACAAGTTGTCAGTTAAAGGTTAAGTTGATTTCTAGTTCTTTAAAGTAGGAATAGAGTTATAGATCAAACTCTTCCCTAAATTGGTAGGAGAATTTCGGCCCCCTCTACTATAAATTGGGGTGCTTGGCCAGCATTTTATTTGTACCTTTGATAAATTTGATATTTCAATATGAGACGAGAGGAAACTCTTTGTTCTTTTTCTATTCTTTTCGAAGATTAGTGCATTGCATACAAGCTTGTGTTTTGTTGATGCATGCGAGTAGAATAGGTGTTTTTCTACTTGTGGAGCTTTGTTAGTTGTTCATTGGTGCCTTTTCGCTAGCCGTTCTATCCATAAATCGAAGGGATAGGGTTGTTAGAGAGGTGACCGATTGGGTTGGTAACCTTAAACACTTTCTACATCTTCTAAACCTTTCCATCCCTTTTTGGTGCAAATTTTTGTGGTTTGCACCTCTTCTTTCCTTTTATTTTTCGTGAGTTTGGAGTCCATAATATTGGATTTGCAAGTTTTCAAGTCATGGGAAATTCATAATTTCCACGTCGAGGTAAATCTGCCACCTTTGTCTCAAGATTCGTATCAAGAAACCATGCAAAGAATCCACACATATTGGTTTATAAACCCAAAGATAATTATAGCCGTAGAATAATGGGGATTATGCTGATCAAACAACTGGAAGTGTAAGCCACTCATAAGAGGGATATGCAGAGAAAAGAGAATTGAAAAACTATTCTCAACATAAAAGAAACATTAATCATCACGCCAGCAGAGACTTTAAAAGTTACAGTAACGGCACCACCCACCTCAACTATGCGTAGTTCATTAAGAAGGGACTAGGATGGAATTGTGATTGTCTGGAATACATTTGAGCGTGTTAACTTCAAGGCTCGTTTTGGAAAAGGTATAGTTTGGTTTGTTAGAAAATTTTGGAAATTTGCTGTCTTTATTGATATGCAGTGGGCATTTTATTCATTCATTGATGTTGAGAGAGCAATGGTTTAGAAGTAATTAAATTGTTCGTTTGGAGTTGTATAGTTGGAAGTGCATGTGTGGGAAAATTATGGAAAAGATGCTCAATTTATGTTCTGTTAAGATATATTTGCTTAGATGCTGAAGTTGCATTGGTTCTTCTCCCCTCACCGTCAGGTCAAATAGGGGATTTGCCTGTTATGTTTGCTAAACCACAGACTTTTATGAATGCAAGTGGTGAGTCTGTAAGTTTTCTTAGCTTGGCTTACCTTTTCTCAATTATGTGATAGTGGTGGTTTGTATGTTTGAACGGTTTAATGTTTCTTCTGCTTCTTTTTTTTCTTCTAGGTCGGAGCTATTGTTTCATATTACAAGATCCCTTTGAAGCAAGTCTTAGTGGTAAGTTATTGATACATTAATGGAGACCCATCATTATTTCTCTTTTGCTGGTGAAACCCCTTAAATGTGAACCTCTTTTGCAGATTTTTGATGATATGGACCTTCCTTTTGCCAAGTTGCGAATGTTGCCAAAGGGTGGACTCGGAGGCCATAATGGGTATGTACAATGTCCTGGACTTTTGATGCATGTGTGGCAAAGCTTCTTAGTGTTGCTAATATCAACTGTTTTATCTTTTTCTACCTGTCGACATTTGACTTTGCTTAGCAATGAAATTTCTGTCTTTCTTTTCTCTTTTCTTTTGTGGGGGCAGGGGGTAAGATAGATATCACTCTCCTAGTTTAGTGCTCATATGGTTGTGAGATGGGATGATCAAAGGGAATAGATTTTGGTCTTGTTGTCCATTGTTTCGTGTTTTCGGTGCAATTATAGTTTTGTTTCTTTTTAATTTTCGTGTCCTCATCTTTCTTGGGAGCAGCATTAGAGATAGTTCTGATCGCAATCTATCTTTCGTTATAAAAAGTTACTATCCCCATCTGCAATTTCAGAGATAATGTTGACGAATTTGGAGGATAATGGTAATGCTACCACATTACCATCTAAATCAATGCAAAGTGTGTGGTGTGGTTGGTTTGGAGGTAACTTCCTGAAGCTTTCTTCTTCTTCTCTTCTGTTTCTTCTTTTTTCTTTTATTTGGGCAGATATTCTCTAGTGATGTGTGTTAAAATGCAATCTAATGATAAACTCACAGGCATTGGTCGACCCCCCGGAAAAATGAATCCTGCGAGTTATGTTTTGCGGAGATTCGACAAACAAGAAAGTGGAGAGGTAATTTATTAACCAATTATAGCTGCTGATGAAAAGCTATTCTAGACTTTCTGCAAAACAAAGATGTTGAAACTTGGCTCTTTCTCTTTCCCAGTTAGATTTTAGTTTCCAGACTGGCTTGGAAGCTGTGAGACTTCTTTTGCTTGAAGGATTAAACAAAAGTGCTACTTTTGTTAATACTTCTAAGTCGTTGGAGCAATTGCAATGGCAAGACTATGAGGCTAATTTACAAGTTTGAAAGCATGGAGTATACCGACCTCTGAGGATCACAATTTGACAAAAATGAGTGGGACAGCACAGAAGCAATTCTTTTGTCCTATATGGTGTTGCTCATTTTCTCAATGCAGAGGCTAATTTATACCTGTTAGCTGTTACTGCTACCATGGACATAAAATTTTGATCTCATGGATGGATTCTTCTATGTAACTGATACAGTAGAGTAGGATAATGCCATTGATGAAGGCATCTTCACCACTTCACTGATGCACTCAAAATTTAAGACCATATCGATTATCAATGTTTGTTATTGTTTGAGCGGCTCAAGATATGAATTTTATGATAGACAAAACATGATATTCATGTAGTATTTTTTTCAGAAAGTATTGATAAAAACATGATATTCATAAAACAGGACCATATCGCTGCTGAGTCATTTTTGTAAAGGGTAAAAAGAATGTCGGAGAATTTTTTTTTTTTTTTTTTGGCTCTATTCAAATACATGAAATTGCGAAAAAGATTCCTGTGGAGAGACCATCTAATTTTCTCTTAGCTCAGAAATTTGACAATAAGTAAGCAGTCATTGATTAAGACGCAAGGGGGTTAAGTAGAGCCAGGAATCGAAGAAAGCAGGGGCGAAGTTTTATAAAATAACTTTAGCAGGGGCAAAAATAAAAAAAAAATACAAAAAGTATAGCTAAAATTTTTCAAGAATTCTGTAGTTTCCTTCAAAAAAATTGGAGGGAGGGGGGGCGACCGCCCCTACTGGTGCCCCCTCCCTCCGCCACCGGTCAACTCTAAGCACGCTGCCCATGAATAGTACCGTCCCACTTGTATCTTCCGCTATGAGAAAAATGAATGGATGATCGGCAACAAAGTTTAGTCTCTTCTTAGTCTTAGGAGTTGTTGAACAAGTAGCCTTCGAATCAGCAATTTCTGCAGTGGTTTCTGTTCCATAGTGGGCAGCATCAGTGAAGGATTCGGCCTCCGATCCATCTTCGTTGACATCAATGTAGGATTCCTGGAAAATGTTGTGCCCTCCAGTAGAAGGGAAAACCGTGCCTGAACTTTCAAGCCCGAATGAGATCTTGAACTTCGGAATCAGGAAGTCCCCAACTTCAACTTTTGTACTCGGGGAATAATGCTTCACGAATCCAGGTCTCGAACTAATATTTTCCACCAAATCCAGCAGTCCGTTCTTGGCATTTGGAAGATACAAGTACATGGAAAAACACGGGCGCGAATAATCGCCGTTTTTATAAGGAAGTCGCAACACTTTGAAACCTTTATATGCACTTATATATCGATTTTTCTCGCTAGTGAAAAAAGCAGCTTTCACTGTATTTCCATCCAGAAGATGAAACTTGTGCTCCTTTCTCTTCGATGCATCAAACTTTTCTCCCCAAGCTCCTTTGAAATATAGTGCATTTGCAAGCAACATGGAAAGGTTGTCAACCGCGCCAGGCTGAAGAATAGCTTGGATTAGGCCATTTGTTTCTTATACAGCCCAATCATTCACCTCATCAATGACCTCGTCCGGCTTGTTTCAGAAATCAACTTCATTAGGATGAGCCTTATAAAAAAGGGACAACGCATTCTTGTAGTTAAGATCGAATCGGGTAGAACCATCAATCCAAACTCCATTCAAAGACGACATGCGAGGGCCGCCAGGAAGGCTACCGTCGGCCAGTACAGAAGTGACTGATGAAGAACCTAAAGAGTTGAGCTCCTCAATGGAGTTAGACCTGAGGAAAGAAAGAAGCCGGGCTTGAGTTTGGCCTTTTGCTCCGGCTGCAATCATGCTCAATACAATGTGGAGGGACGACGGCGACAATACAGAATTTGCATTGTTTTTCGCCCTCGCTAAGATGATCGGCTTTGCTAATGTTAGTAAGACGTCATTGTGGTTGTGATTTGAAAAACCTTGGCCGTCAAGTGACTGCTTGTGGGAGAGATTTGGAAGAAAGCACCACTTCATTCTTCCAACCGAAGCTTTGTTCATTTGTTTTGTTTTGTTCATCACGCCAGCAGTAGTCAATTGACTACTGCTCATAGAACCTTGGAGATGCAAGTGAGTCAAATGGTCTCTGCCATGAATACTCGTGGACAAGATCAACTGCCAAGCAAGTCTGAAATCAACCCTCGTGAAAATTGTAGCGCTATCATGTTGAGAAGTGGGAAGCAGTTGGGTGACAAGGAGGAACCAAAGACCACTGAAGTGAATGTGACCACTGATGAGAAGAAAGAAGAGAGTAAAGATAGTGATGAAGCAAAAGTGGAGAATGTGGAACAAGAAGAAGAAAAGATATATGTGCCATCACCGCTTAAATCTTATTTTCCACCAGTGCCTTTTCCACAGAGACTCCATATGACCAAGTAAGATAGGTTGTTTGAGAAATTTCTGTAAATTTTTAGGCAATTGCATATTAACATTCCTTTTGCAGATGCTTTAGCTCAAATTCTTGCTTATGGGAAGTTCTTGAAGGAGATCATCTCCAACCGAAGGAAAGTGGAAGACTTTGAGACAATTGCATTATCTGAGGAGTGTAGTGCTGTTATTCAAAAGAAGTTGCCTCCAAAATTGAGTGATCCAGGGAGTTTCTCTATACCTATCTCTATAGGTGATGTTTGTTTTGATAAAGCTTTATGTGATTTAGGTGCTAGTGTTTCATTGATGCCTTTATCTGTTTGTAGAAAGCTTGGGTTGAAACATTTGAAACCAACTAACATCACTTTGCAGTTAGCTGAAACCAACTAACATCACTTTGCAGATGCGAGATCTAAGCTTTGACCCATAATTATCCTAGAAATCTTACATGGAGATTCATGAATCGAAACAGAGCTGTTTAAATGATCACCACTGACTCCTGTATCCAGATCGGTTTTAAGCAATTTTGTAGTGCCTTTGACCCGCCAAAAACGTGCCTAAAAATCATTGCTGCTTAGATTAATAAACAAATTCTTCAATCAAAGAGACCCTCCAAGAAGAAAATTGACTAAAATGGATTTGTAACAGTTCAAACAAAATACAAATTACAGGGAAAGGCTCACCTTTTAAAAGATCTTTGATTCCAGAAAGTAAAAAAGAAGCTGAAGTGATTAAGACCCTCTTCTTAAATCACTAAAGACCAGAATTACCAAGTCAAGATGGGCGACCAAGTCAAATTAAGAAACTTACGAGAGCCTAGAAACAAAACACCATCAATCACCGATCCTCTCAAACTTCAAAATCTAGTCTACAAAATCAAAAAAAAAAAAAAACCCAGATGAGAAAAAAAAATCACACATTGCACAAACCACATTCAACAAATTCAAAAAAAGAATCAGAATAGAAGTTCAATCTTTGAGAAGAACCCTAAAACCCCAAATGCGAGATGGCAAGAAAAAAAAGCACCTAAAGAAACAAAGAAAGAAGAGGCAAATAGATAAAGACTCTCACCTAAAGACTCTCACCAGTAAATAAGAGAACATAAGTAAATTATGCACCTTATTAGGTGGACGGAGGCTTTCGTTTTGCTGTTGGCTCGTGAATATTGAGTGGGAGGAGGAGAAGGAAATCGATGGTGGCAGAATAATTGTCCTTTCTGGAATTATGGGTCAAAGCTTAGATCTCGCCGGATTCTAACAAAATCAATAAATCTCAAGCAAAAAGAAAAAAAGAAACAAAATCAAAGCTCAGATTTGGAACAATCAGATGGGCCAAAAGATGTTGAGATCGCCATGGCTGCAAAATCCAGTTGCTTCAACAGTGCCATCCGGGTTGCCAAGCCAACATACGGTCAGTTTACACCTCAATGACTAATCCCCTAGTTCCAATATCCACAAAACATCATCATCACAGCTTTTCTGATATTCTTAGCCATCGATTTTTTTTTTCCAGAGCGGCTATGGAAGAGGATGAAGAAAACATGAAAGGAGATGAGAGGGAAGACGTGGGCAAAAAAATATGATACTGTTAACCACTAAAGAGAGAAGTTGTTTTTTAATAAACGTGCAAACAAAATTCATCTTATTGGGACTGAATTTCATTCGCAACTGATTTTCTTTTAGGAATAAACACATCGGAACACTATTCAACACATTAAATACACCCTACAAACGTTCCCACCTTCATGGGCACATTAAATAACAATAATTCAAAACATTAAGGGGGATAAAAAAATTATTATAATTGAAAACATTTGTAATTTTTCCAGATCTATCCAAAATATCCAAATTCAAGGCCCAATTACCTGAAACCAACCCCAACCCCGGTAATAAATCTATCCATCAATGGTAAAATTAGAAATCCACCAACAATCACACACAAATCAACACCTTTTCGGCACAGACTTCATTCCCCACCCCGACCCGATGAACTTTCCGGGTCAACCACAAACTATTGACCCTATTTACATACCCTACCAGCAAAAACGGCCAACCATTTTGGTACATAGCCAAGGCAAAATCGCCCAATTTTACACACACCTATACACCTTAATTTGCACACACTTTCAACTTTATATGTTTGGGTAGATAAGTAGTATGAATATGTTTTCCTTTTCTCCTCGTACTGTTCGAGAACTATAAACATTACTATAAACATTTCCTTTTCTCCTCATACCATTCGAGAACTATAAACAATACGTTGTACTCAGAGATCCCATAAGATGGCTTCGAGATTTTCAACAAAAATGGTGTATGATGGGGGATTTAAATGAGAGTAAAGTCACAGAATTTCATATTCTTTTTTTAGTTTGTAGAAGTCCATATCATTAGTAAATTATTACAACTTTACACGTGATTTATGAGGGACAATTTCTCAAACATTGATGCCAACCGGGACAATTTAAAGATAATAACAATAATAAAAATCACAAAAGAGGTCGATGAAATATTTTTATTACAAACATTGCCTGCAATATATGAGGACTCCCTTTGTGTGGCTAAATTTTCATTTAGTTACAATTTTTTTGGGGGTTTGTTGCAAAATCAAGATCCTATTATGAACATGCTAAGGGACTTGATTTATTTATACATTTATAAAGAATAGGTTCGTAAAACACGTTCATATATAATTGTTTAAGAAAAAGGTATATTCTTTTTAAGTTACTGAAATAAATATCGACATCAATCTTATCTTAATTTAATCTAAATACTTCATTTTACTTACTAACCAAAATACTAAAAGTCTAAAACAGAAATCTTGACATTAAGTCATACTACAGCCTTAGATCCCCATGATGATGATCTCTCTTGGAAGTTGGAAGCAAGAGATCACTAATTGTTACAATTGGCAAGTAATTAATTCAACATTATTACATAACTTATACGGTACTAAAATTGATTTTATCTTTATCTGTAAGTCTAAAATTGACGTAGTGTAAGATTTCAAGGGACTTATCTGATAATTTAAGTGTAAGGGTTACGTATAAAAGCAAATTGAAACACTTTACCATTTCAATGGAACGTTGACTACCACCACCCAAATCCAACTTCAACCGTCACATTGGCTTCTCTACCAGCCGGAGCTTCATCCAATTTTGAAATCCCATGTGAGATTTTTTTTTTTCTGGCCTCGTTGCAAAATTAGAGTTGAGTTTCAGGTGGTTTTTATATTTCCATCCTTTTCTCCATGAAGATTCCTTAACCTTTATTAGTGAAGTTGTGGGAGGATATGATTTTCTTTGCCTTAAATTGATCTGGTCTGATCATATCTTATTTTTATGCTAAGTGTACTACTTTGGGTTTTCATTTCGCTGAGGTTTGGAAAAAGATTGAATTTTTAGAGTGCGGGTTGAGGATTTAGCATACCAGCATTTGTTACTGTATGTATGTTGAATTATCTAGAGAAGTACGAATAATCTTGTTTCACTGCGTGTGAGCAAATGGTGCTGCCACTATTTGGTTTAGATGTCCAATCCTTAAAATTTAATACATTCCAGTCATAGGATATTAAAGTATTTGTTTAGTTTTTGTCTGTATTGTTTTGGCTTCCACATCAGTTCTATTACTCTGCCTCTAGGTTAGGAAGAATGGAACTGGTATAAATTATGATTTAATTGTTTGGTTAGTTGCATGAATAATATAAGTTCTAAAGCAGGACGTTGATGTTTTTGCAGTTGTTTAGTTAATTGCAATATATCATAGTCCCTCGATGAGTAAAGATGTAGAGTTTATGGAAGGAGAGGGTAAACAGTTTAAGAAGCTGGGCAAGTGCCGTTCAAAAAGTAAAGTAGAGTATCCACTTGATTGTGGAGTGGATGCAGAGAATGATCAGAATGGTCAAGGGAGCTCCTCATCACGTGAGGAAAAAGTCAGCAGCCTTAGAACGGTAAGTTAAATTTTCTAACCTTTTCACCCTTCTAAGTTTAGGGTTGTAGCTGGATCGATTTCTATAGAAGTGCTGCATAACTTCAAAAGAGGCTAGACAAATTGCTCTTGCTTAACTATATATGTTCAAACTTTAGCAGAGTCTATCATATGATTAAAATTCTACCGGATCAATATTTTCTGTCTTTTACGGAAATGATTTCTCTGCTGTTCATGAATCTCCTCCGATAGGGAAAGAGGAGTTTGAATGTATTCAAAATGAAGTTATTATAATAGAAGAGGGAGTGGTTTTGTCATTTGATTGTAACCTCTGAGACTGATCTATGAAGGCTGTAACTTTAATTATTAATGGAAAAGGCGTTGCTCTATTAGTAAAAGCTCACTCATCGGTATCATTTAAAGTTACGGTGGACTTAAAGATGGGAAGATGTGGAAGATGACATGAGGGGAAAGTTCGTGGTTTTATATGCAGTTGCAATTCTAATCCAAATCCTTGTTCTTTTATCGAACATTAATTTTTACACTAACTTTTTTGTTACCGAATCTCCTATATTTTAATTCCATTTAAGGATATAAGTTATATTTTCACAATTCTTAGTAAAATTTAATCATACAAGTGCTTGATGAATTTTAAGGTTAGAGATATCATATACAAATATGGAAATTATGATCAAATATGCTCTTATTATTTGTGTTAGCAATCTGATCAAATATGCTAACTAGGTTGCTGGGATGGGAGTTGGATGTTTGTGTTTTGCATGGTCTAGGTTCACCAGATATATGTTTAATGATCTGACTATCTCATGGTATCTTCTTATCTCTAATGAGCCAGATAATAAATTCCTTTGACGGAACTGTTCACTTTGCACGATCTTTGGCCTTGATTTATTGCTCTTGCAGTCTTCAACAAGAATCGACTAATTTATTTTATTTCCATACAGGGACTGGTCCATGTTGCACGGAAGATGCCAAAGAATGCCCATGCTCATTTCGTACTCGGGCTAATGCACCAAAGAATGGGTCAAGCTGAAAAGGTGTCTTTGAAATTCCTTTAGTTCTACTTTTGTTGTATCATTGCAGAGAGCTATAAATCTGTGCAATATAGATAAGGTTTCATAGAGGAGTCTTTTGTAGGCAATTATGGCCTATGAGAAGGCCACTGAGATTTTAATTCGGCCTGAAGAGGACATTGACCGGCCAGATTTGCTTTCACTGATTCAGATTCACCATGCTCAGGTGGAATATCTTACCCTTAAAGAATTTTAGTTGCATTGAATTGGGGCTCTATTTTATGAATGGTAAATTGAGTGGATGACCTTTTGTTTATGAATGTTTTATACAAAAATACAGTGTATTTTGCTAGGAAGCTTAGAGGACAGCAAGTCGGACCAAGAACTTGAGCCCCAAGAACTTGAGGATATTCTTTCTAAGTTAAAAGCATCTATGGACTCTGATGTTAGGCAGGTGTCGGTCTGGAACACATTGGGTGTTATACTAATTAAAACTGGGCGTTTGCAGGTGCAGTTTCTGAATCTTATTCTGGTAATGTAGACACTTGCAGCGATCATACAGTTGTATCTTATGAACTGTGATTCTGCTCCTCTCCTCTTGTAGAGTGCAATATCAGTTTTCTTGGCATTGTTAGCCATTGAACCCAACAACTTGGATTGCCTAGGAAACCTTGGGATTGCTTATTTTCAAAGGTACTGACAAATAGTTTGATTAGAGGAGTCATTATGAAAGTAACTTTTGTTCTCTGTTGTCAAAATATGGTTGGTTGAGTCCTGAAAACTAGAATAGAGTGTGGAACATAATCACTGCTTGTCCTGGGAAAAGAATAATGTACCTTCTTGTTGTTCTCTTTGTGCAGTGTGGTTGTTTTTGCAGAAACATACTACATGGCACTAAATACCTAAAGAGTATAGCATTGTTGGAATCAATTTAAGTTATTGAAAAAGAACTCCTCTGGCAAATTTGGTAAATAAACACTTAAAACATATCAATGCCTGTATATGAACATCAGTTGTATATTGTTATTATTTTTTTTTTTCTTTTTTTTTTCTTTTTTTTTTTTTTTGTGTGGATTCCTGGAAGTGTTGGTAAAGAGGAAACTTCCACAGAGTTTGTCTTGCTGGCTATTATTGAAGAACTGGTTGGAAACTTTGATTTGAGGCTTTGACTATAGAAGCTTAGTTTTTAAAAAGGACTCGCATTAAACATCAGCAACGACAGTAGTTTGGTTCTATTATTATTTAAACCTATTTTTAATTGTTTCCAAATCCAAGAAGCCAAGGAGGAGGTGGGGTTGGGGGGGGGGGGGTTTAGTTTGTTATTTCTACATCCAAATGTCTAGAACCTAGTAATTAATGTCTACAAATGACAGCAGTTTCTTACTCCAAATATGATCTAATTAAACAACAAATAAATCACCAATTAGGCAAAGGTAGTGGCATGTAGCACCATGGGGCCATGATAATCTTGTCTTCATCTGCCGCTGTGTTACTAAATCATTAAGAAATTGGTTAATTTTATACATCCTTTTCCAACTTTAAAGTCTTTTCTTTTTCCTCATGTTTCCTTTTCTTGCATCTTATGCCCGGGGATTTTGCTGTCTTATGAATCTCCAGTTACATCCTTTGACTAGTTTTCTAATCTTTATATTCCAGTGGGAATTTGGAACTTTCAGAGAAGTGCTGTCAAGATCTGGTGTTGAAGGATCAAAACCATCCCTCTTCCTTAATCAATTATGCTGCCCTTCTTTTGTGTAAATATGGTTTGGTAGTTTCGGGTAACCTTCTCATGGTGCCAGGTGTCTTGTCTTTTATTTTATATCTGTTTTTTTTTGTTTGGGGGTTTTAGGTTGGGGGGTTATTCTCTATCTTCAATTTTTACTATCTCTTTGTAATACTTTCTTCAAAATCATTTTGGAGATGTTCTTCAGGATCAGATTTCTTTCAAATTGTTGCTTTTTGTAGCAAAATAAGTATGTTACAATTCTCTCTTCCATGTTCTAGGTGCTGGAGCAAATGGTGATGATGGAGGGACATCTGCTGATCAAGTTGCTGCGGCCAGTACTGCTAAAGAATGTTTATTAGCTGCTGTGAAATCAGATCCCAGATCAGCACATCTATGGTCCAATCTAGCTAATGCTTATTCGTTGATGGGTGACCATCGAAATGCAAGCAAATGCTTGGAAAAGGTTATTCTGTCTTTTTAATGCATTCCATCATTGGAACGTGTTGGGCAGGGCCCATATCTGGATGTTTTGATGAAATAGTAATGTGGGGTTTCTTCCATATGTGTGGTAGTTTCTAACCAGTAATGTGGGCAGAACATGATTTGGCTATGGAAGCTAACTTAAAATCGCTAGCTTTTTTCGATTGTTTTTTTTTTTCTTTTGGGATTGAAGGTGGGTGGGGAGATTTTTGTTGGCTGTCGTGACATTGTTTAAATGTTGATGAAACTTTTCGAAAATTTAATTAGTTATGTACTCTCTCTGTCCCATAATAAGTCCACATTTTCTAGCACAATTCTCAAAACTCAATGTGGACTATTTTTTTTTTGAGAAAGAGGGAGTATATAATTTTTAAGTTTTATTTTTCATTCCAACATTTTAAAAGTTATTCTTTATTATTTTAGGTAATTTTCAGAGTTTAACATTGATAACTGTAAAGATGGATAAACTTTTAACTTTGTTGACATGATTTTATAATTTGTTCACTTGGTCTGGATGCTTTGTTTCATATGCTTAGTTAAAAGTAGCAATTAGATATGAATCTGTAATTTCCAAAAGCTTATGTAGATGATCTCAACCTGACTAAGAAGGGTCTAGTAGTCAATATTGAGTTCCTTCTTAGAGTTTCTTACAATTTGTTCAGGCCGGAAAGCTGGAGCCTAATTGTTTGGCTACGAGGTATGCTGCTGGAATTCACCGGACCAGGGATGCAGAAAGGTCTCAAAACCCAAGTGAGCAGCTCTCTTGGGCTGGAAATGAGATGGCTTCCATACTTCGAGAGGGAGATTCATCCATGATTGATCCCCCTATAGCTTGGGCAGGCCTTGCTTTGGTTCACAAGGTTCAACATGAGATAGCTGCAGGCTTTGAGATTGAGAACGATGATTTGGTGGAAGTCCAAGAACGTGCCATACAGAGTCTCAAACAGGTTGACAGGGATTGTACTTCCAATTATTCTACTTCTTACCCTCTCCCGTTATAACACAGAAACCAGTTAACGTAAAAGTTTTGCTTTTCCTATTTTCCTTTTATTATTCAATTTTCAGGACTTTGTGTTGCTTGTATCAATAACATATGAATAACTAATTCATCTAAGGAAAAATGATGAAATCCTTCGGAGATATTTATACAATCGAAACCAATCAGCTCAACTTTATTTGTTGATTTTTGTATTCCTCTTTCTATGTATTTCCCGTAAAATGGTACCAGTTAGTACACTGGTGTTAGCTGATCTGCCAGTGCATTGCCGTCAATTACTCTTGTGCTCCCATGTTTGGTACTCTAATCAAAGATAGTGTTTGGTTCAGTTTTACCCAATATGTTTTCTGCAGTTGTTCATTTGCGTATCTGAGATAGTCTGAATAGGATGCGGTTCTGTCACTCCGTTCTGTTTGGCTTGGCCAAGAAATTGAAGATTTAGTGAAGCTTATATTTACAGAATTTTAATCTCTTTTCCTCTATCTCTGAACCAGGCAATAGAGGAAGACCCGGATGACGCTGTGCAGTGGCATCAATATGGCCATCATGATCTTTGTACTCAACAGTTTAAAACATCACAAACTTATCTAAAGGCTGCTGTTGCTCGCCTTAAGGATTGCAGTTTTGCTTGGTCCAATCTTGGTAACGTTAATTGTTTCTTGTTCTACTTTGTTGTTTCCTTGTCCGCGCCCCAACCCACCCACCCCCCTCCCCCCCTCTGAACTACTTTTAGATTCTTTCTAGGTTGGACTTGAGCATCAGTCTTGTTTGCTGCACATGAATTTCAGGTATTTCATTGCAGCTATCTGGGGATACTTCACAAGCGGAAGAGGCTTACAAACGCGCTTTAGCACTGACTACATCTCAACAGGCACACGCAGTATTTTCCAACCTGGGAAATCTCTTCCGGCAAATAAGGAAATATGATCAGTCAAAGGCTATGTTTTCCAAGGCCCTTGAACTTCATCCAGGTTATGCTCCAGCATATAACAATCTAGGCCTCGTGTTTGTGGCCGAGGGTAGGTGGGAAGAAGCCAAGTTCTGCTTTGGCAAGGCCATTGAAGCAGATCCGCTGTTGGATGCGGCAAAGTCTAACATGTTAAAAGCGGCCAGTATGTGTAGAATGTATTCATCTCTAACACCTAGTTCGGGCTGATATGAACTCGTGATGGTAGTTTAGGTTTGATTTCTTCTTTCAAAGTTGTCAAAATTGATATCTAACATATTCTGGGGTCTTTTGTGCTGATGAAGATTAGTGGCTGAAAATGATCTGACTTGCGGTTTTCAACCTCGAGCTTCGAACAGACTGCACACAGAACCCGCAGATTATGGTTTGTGTACGTAGAATTCGAGAAAAATTGTGAAATATTGTGTTCACTAGGATTTAGATATGCTGCCGGAAACAGAACATACTAGAATCCAAAAGAGATGTGTACTGTACTAGTATTAATGGAAATGTCACTTTTGGTCGAACTCTCCTTGTAATACTTCTTTTCGTTTTTCACAGTTTCAACTACGTTAATTTTGTGTCTCTGTTGTAAGAGACCACCATTTATTTATTTCCATAGCAGAAAAAGTGATACTCCCTCCGTCCCATAATTATTGTTCATTTTGCCCAAAAAATTATGTTCCAAAATTATTGTCCAATTTGACTTTTTATGGATCAAGTTACTCATTTGTCTTTAGTAAAAAACATTATCTATAAAATCTTAGTAGTTAAACAATTACTTATGTAGGGGTATATCTGGTTATTTAAGGTAAAATATAGTTAACTTTGACCAAAAATAAAATCTTTCATTTTAGTAAAACTGGACAATAATTATGGGACGGAGGGAGTATAATATTTTCAAAGTAAAGGTACTATTTCCTTCTTCTTCTTCTTTTTTTTCTTTCTTATTTTTTTTTTCAAAAAAAATGTACTAGTATTCGCGAAACTAAAATAATAATTTCACCAAAAAGAACTACCATTTTAGTGACACGAGGAGATATGTAAAAAACACAAAATACTACCCCATAGGTACACAAAGCTGAAATGCCTTCAACAATTATGTAGACACATTTTTTTTTTTTTACAATAAACAAAAGGTCAAGCCTTATAACTAAACAGAAACATTTCGCGAATAAGATACACAAAGCTGAAATGCCATCAACAATTATATGGACACAAGTTTTCATTGAGACATTTAGACACAACTCTTGGGAAGGATCCTTAATATTTAGGTAAACTTGCCTCATACCCCAAAATGTTGACATTGTTTCTTGATTCTCGAGGAACTAATAATGGAAGAGGAGGATGGGTGCGAAAAGTTTCTTTAACAACTGCTCTTAAATAAGTGAGTTTTCCCAATTCATCTTCTGTAATACTCCCTCCGGTCCTTAATATTAGGCATTTTGATTTGTCCTATGTTATATTTAGTGTGTATTTTTAATTAACGAAAAAATCTTAAAAATATATTTTCACATTCGTTGTTTTATCTTGATTGTTATGAAATATTTTTAAGGTTATTTTATCAATTAAAAATGCGTACTATGTGAAATTTAGGACAAATCAGAATGTCTTTTATTAAAGACTGGAGAGAGTACAATTCAGTTTGTCATGATCTGCAACTCTTCTCACCTCATTTTGCAGTTTGGTCATAACATTTTTAATTTTCACGAGCTCAGAAATTGCCCACTCCAATAATGTAGATGTAGTATCAGTTCCACCAACAAACATGTCCTATATACAATGAGTAAATTTGGATATCAGTTATTAATAATGTAGCTTTCAAATTAAAGTACAAATCTATTTGCAATCATAACTTGCTTCATTACAACTTTAAATGAAGCGCGAGCTATACCTGGATATGGTACATATATTCCTGTCTCGTGATAATAATTCATTTTTCATGACTATAATATCGTGGTTTTGATAAATTGATAAAATTATTTAATATCATTCCTAATATCGATGGTTCAAGTTTTATAAGATCAAATGGTTCAAATTTTCACATGTACAGTTATCAAACAAATTTGTACTGTTATTATGGGGCGGAGGGTGAATAAGTTGTTTTTTTTTTTTTTCCTTCCACCAAATTCGCAAACTTTTATTAATCTTTTTCTCCCCTGAAGTTACCCATGATTGGTTTAAGAAAATAGAAAAATTTCCGAAAACGAAAACATCCAAAAATCCATGATCTTATTCGGCCCCATTTGATTGATACTTCTAACCAAAACCAATCATACAAATACAGTAAACCACACTATTGGTTTTACCGAGATTTGGTTTTTAATTTCAGCCTACCTGTTATTTTGCAAAAATAAAATATAATAATTATGTATATGATATGAAATAAAATTAAAACATAAAATTAAGGGACAGTAGTGTAATTAAACTTTTTATTTTCTGAAAAATATTTGCATATTTGCAAATGAGTAATAAACTCTCTAGTTCTATAATAACTATATGTTTAATTTACTATAAGAAAGAATATAGAATAAAGAAATACATTTCTTTTTTCGAAAAAAAAAAAAAAAACAAGACAATTATTTTAGACGGAAAGACTACCTTACCAGAATGATAGCTTTAATTGAATCCCGATGAAGATCAAACCCAGTGGCATTTTTCTCCTGGATTTCCAGTAAGACATCCAAAAAGTTCTGCTGACTTTCCTGTTGTTCACCTTCATCACTTTCACCAGTAACAAAATTATTTTTCTTCTTTATTCCTTCTTCAACAATAGTTTCCAAATATGTATCCAACTCTTTTGCAACCCCATTGAGTTTTGCTTCCAAACCATAGATGTGATTAATCCATCCTAGCCATGGGATGTATTACGATGTATATATAGTAAATATGTGTGTTATCTTTGTAATTGTTGTATTTACCTTAGTTAGAGTTTTGTATACCGTAATTCTAGGGATTGATTGATACGTAGTTTACTGTATATAACTTACCCTAATATCAAAAACAACGGCAAGAGGTTGAGCCGCTTTCCTTTGATCTCTTCGTTCTTCTCATGGTATCAATCGCAGGAGTTTTCTAATCTTCCTGTTGTCTATTTTCTGTTTTCTTCCCCGACGGATCATGACCAATACCGACGTCCCTCAGCCGTCTCATGCCAAGCAAACGGCCACTGACAGTGGTGACTCGGTTGTCCGCCGCCGGACCATCTCTCCATTTGATCTCTCGCCGAATGATTTTTCCGGCACTGTGATCACCACCGTTCAGCTTCGTGGTGAAAGCAACTACGTCGAATGGTCCAAAGCCATCATTACCGCCCTTCGTGCGCGGAAGAAATTTGGGTTTGTTGACGGATCACTCACTCAGCCATCGGATTCATCGCCGGATGCCGAAGATTGGGGGCCGATTAATTCTCTCTTGGTCTCCTGGATTTTAAACACGATTGAACCTGCTCTTCACTCGACGATTTCCCACACCGAGATTGTTCGTGATCTTTGGCTGGACATCCAGGAACGCCTCTCCATTGTCAACGGCCCCCGGATTCAGCAGCTTAAGTCTGATCTTGCTCACTGCCGGCAGAAAGGGCTGAGTGTTATGGCTTACTATGGCCGGCTCAAGATGATATGGGAGGAGTTAGCATCCTACGACTCCTTCCCGGCGTGTACCTGTGGAGGCTGCTCCTGTAATCTCTCGGCGGCGGCAGAGAAGAAGGTGGAAGAAGAAAAACTCCATCAGTTTCTTCTCGGCCTCGATGACACCCTCTATTCTGCCGCCCGGTCTCAGATTCTTGCTCAAGATCCGCTCCCACGACTGAGCAAAGCTTATGCCACCATCATCCGCGAGGAACGCCTGCACTCCATGACTGTCGCCAAGGAGACTCTGCCGGAAACCATGGCTTTTGCAGTTTCGACGCGGGGTCCGCCGGTTCCTGCTGTTGACGTGGTGGCCCGGGCAGCGGTTGTCGGCTCTAGTTCTCCGAATCGTGGTGCTTCTCCGGCGCCGGCTGCTTCCAGTGGTGCGTTATTTTGCACCAATTGCAATCGTCCTAATCACGACGTCAGCACATGTTACCGGTTGATTGGTTTTCCTCCCGGCTGGTCCTCTCGTGGTCGTGGCGGCGGACGTGGCCGTGGGCGAAATAATCCAAGTGCTGGCCGTGGCAACTCTTCACAACTTGGGACCGTTTCCGGAGTTCCAACTCAGCCTTCCGCGACTGCCCACAATGTGTTATTACCTTCCGGCGGTGATGGCGTCGGTTCTGCTGTGACCGGACTTAATCCCGACCAGTGGAATACGCTTCTCTCTTTATTGAACTCGGCCAAATCTCCATCGGGTTCATCTTTGTCTGGTAAGCGTATTTGTGAAAATTGGATGTATGATTCGGGTGCCTCGCGTCACATGACAGGTTCTATTGATTATTTTGCGACTATTTGTGATATACTTGGCATTTCTGTCCAATTACCGAATGGTCATTATACTTGGGCTAACAAAGCCGGCACTGTGGTTCTTAGTGCTAAAGTCATTTTGCAGAATGTACTGTTTGTTCCGAGTTTGACATGTCATCTTATCTCGGTTTCTCAACTATTGCGTGATACTGGCTCTATTGCTCACTTTACCTCTCATTTTTGTGTTATACAGGACCTCACTTCGAGGATGCTGATTGGAGCGGGTGAGCAAAGAGAGGGGCTTTATTTTTTCCGGGATGTGGAGAGTCTCGCTGCTGCTACAACACCTAGGGTTTCTTCACTCGAGTTATGGCATCAACGTCTTGGCCATCCCTCCTTTAAGGTTTTGGCTTCACTTCCTAGTGTCGGCTCTCCCCTCGGATTTTAGTCATTTTCATAATAAGGCCTGTGATGTGTGTTTTAGGGCCAAACAGTCTCGATCTTCCTTTCCTGTTAGTAGGACTAAGACTGTTGAGATTTTTCAGTTAATTCATTGTGACTTGTGGGGTCCATATCGGGTTCCCTCATTTTCGGTTGCTCGGTATTTTTTGACAATTGTTGATGATTTTTCCCGTGCCACCTGGATTTATTTGTTGCATGATAAAAAGGAAGTTTCTTTAAAGCTTCGTCAGTTTTTTACTATGGTGGAACGTCAATATGGAAAATTGGTTAAACGCGTTCGTAGTGACAATGGTACCAAATTTATGTGTTTGACTGATTACTTTCTTCATCATGGCATTTTGCATGAGACGTCTTGTGTTGGGACCCCCCAGCAGAATGGCCGTGTAGAACGTAAACACAGACATATTTTGAATGTGGCTCGTGCATTACGGTTTCAGGCTCAATTGCCCATTGAATTTTGGGGCGAATGTGTCTTGGCTGTTGCCTATTTAATTAATCGTACTCCTTCGAGTGTCTTAAATGGAAAAACCCCATGTGATTTTTTGTATGACAAGCCTCCTTCTCTGGCTCATTTACGAGTGTTTGGTTGCCTTTGCTTTGCGCATCAACAGAATCGTAGCGGTGATAAGTTTTCTAGTCGCAGTAGGCGATGTGTGTTTGTGGGATACCCTTATGGCTAAAAGGGTTGGCGTGTCTATGATTTAGAAACCGGTGAATTTTTTGTTTCTCGAGATTTTATTTTCTTTGAATCGGAGTTTCCATCTATGTCGCATGACTTGCCTGGTTCGTCTTCTCCATTGCTTGCGTCTTCACCTGTATTTTTGGATGATGACTCTCCTGATTCTGTTATTGAGCCTACTTCTGTCCCAGTTTCTCCGTCCGTTCCTGTTATTTCTCCGGACACTGGCGCATCTGCTTCTTCTGAACCTGCCCCCCAAGACAGGGGGGTCCTTCCCATACACAACAGGAAGAACTACTGGGCCGTGGGCATCGTCTCAAACAGCGTTCTGTTCGCCTGCGAGATTTTACGGCACACACTGTTATAAGCCCCTCTCCTGCCACTTCCGCTGCTTCAGTTTCCTCAGGTGCGTCCTATCCTATACACAATTATATTACCTGTGATTCTTTTTCCCCACAACATTGTGCATTTTTGGCTAGCGTCTCTGCAGGAATTGAGCCTCGTACTTTTTCTGAGGCTGTTCGGGACGTTCGATGGCAAGTGGCTATGCGCCAAGAGATACAGGCTTTGGAAAAGAATGACACATGGTCCATTACTCCCGTTCCCCTGGCAAACGGGCTATCGGTACCAAGTGGGTGTTCAAAATCAAGTACCACTCTGATGGCTCTGTGGAACGCTATAAAGCTCGCCTGGTGATTTTAGGCAACAATCAGATTGAAGGTCTGGATTATAATGAGACCTTCGCTCCGGTTGCTAAAATGGTGACTGTTCGTACATTGCTCATCGTCGCTGCTTCTAAAGGCTGGGAGCTTCATCAGATGGATGTCCATAACGCCTTTCTTCATGGTGATTTAGATGAGGAGGTTTACATGAAGCTTCCTCCTGGATTTCAGGCTCCCGCACCGGGATCTGTTTGTCGTCTTCGGCGCTCTCTTTATGGTCTTCGGCAAGCTCCTCGCTGTTGGTTTGCCAAATTGGCCAGTGCCTTACGTCGGTATGGTTTTTTACAGTCGGCCTCTGATTACTCTCTGTTTGTTTTGTGTCCTGGCACCACTCAGCTGACAGTTTTGGTATATGTTGATGACATGATTATTTCCGGCAATAATAGCTCTGCCATTCAGTCCTTTAAGGATTATTTAAGCCGATGTTTTCATATGAAGGATTTGGGTGTTCTCAAATACTTCTTGGGTATTGAAGTAGCTCGCAACTCTACTGGCATTTTTCTGAGGTTGGCTTATTGGGATCTAAGCCCACTGGTTTTCCGATGGAACAGAATCACCAGCTTTCGACGGTTGCTGAGGCTCCTCTCTTCGATCCTGAACGTTATCGGCGTTTGGTGGGTCGCTTGATCTATCTGGCTGTCACTCGTCCGGAATTGTCCTATTGTGTTCATACTCTTGCTCAGTTCATGCAGAAACCTATGCAGGCTCATTGGGACGCTGCTCTTCGCGTTGTGCGGTTTCTGAAGGGTAATCCAGGCCAGGGTATTCTTCTTCGGGCTGATTCGGACCTTACCTGATCTGGCTGGTGCGATTCTGACTGGGCTAGTTGTCTGTTGACTCGCCGTTCTCTTACTGGCTGGTTTGTTCAGCTCGGTCAGTCCCCAATCTCTTGGAAAACAAAGAAACAACAGATGGTTGCTCGCTCGTCTGCTGAGGCAGAGTATCGCTCTATGGCTGCTACTGTTTGTGAGTTGAAGTGGCTGAAGGGTTTATTGCATTTTCTTGGTGTTGCACATTCTCATCCTATTCGGCTATACTGTGATAGTCAGGCTGCTTTACATATTGCCGCGAACCCGGTATTTGATGAACGCACGAAGCATATTGAGGTTGACTGTCATTTTTTACGAGATGAAATCTTAAAGGGTACCATTCTTCCGAGTTATATCTCTACTCATGTTCAGTTGGCGGACATTTTCACGAAGGCTCTGGGTAAACCCCAGTTTGATTATTTTCTTGCCAAGTTGGGCATTCGGAACCTGCATGCTCCAACTTGAGGGGGGGTATTACGATGTATATATAGTAAATATGTGTGTTATCTTTGTAATTGTTGTATTTACCTTAGTTAGGGTTTTGTATACCGTAATTCTAGGGATTGATTGATACGTAGTTTACTGTATATAACTTACCCTAATATCAAAAACAACGGCAAGAGGTTGAGCCGCTTTCCTTTGATCTCTTCGTTCTTCTCAGGATGTAATCACCAACATTAAAAGGCTCCCAATAGCTCTAAACATTCGTCAAAAGTTTTCATGAATTTGCTTCCGCTTTTCTCTCCCGAGTGCCTCCTCCCCATGGCCATCCGACAAATTATGTCATTAGAAAATATTACTAATAGCTCGCTGACATTAACAGGCGAACCTGACAAGCAACGCGATCTCTTCTTCCCGTATGTTTCTGAATGATTGAACCCTCTTATTGCTTAAAAGTTTAAGAACACATATACTTTTTATTTGTCTCCAGTATTCGCCATAAGGTGCGAAAGCTGGATCCTTAAAATTGTACACAAGTCGCCCAACAGAGTTCGCTTTAGGCCTACTTGAAAAGTTGAGATCATGTGTTTTTAGGACCATTTCAGCCATAGTAGGGGATGAACTGATGAGTGTAGGTTTGCTACCTAAGTGAAGAAGCATAATTGAACCATATTTTTCAGCTAACAATTTCAGGGATTGGTGTGGGAGGAAACCAAGTTGATGAAGGTTTCCTATCATGGGAAGTTTTGGTGGTGAAGGTGGGAGGTTTTTCTTGCTACCTTTGAGCCATTTGAATAGGAAGAAAGTGAAAATAAGGAGTGGAACAAGCAAAGAAAACATGGAGATTTTCATTTCTTCTTGCTTAATTTGTTGTTCATCTTTGGAGGTTGTCTTGTTTTATAGAGATCAAGTATTGGGTTTTGTAACTAATACATGACATTATTTACAGCTGATTTCATGATTTTTTACTCTACTTCAGAGTTGCTTTCCACGCTATTTTTTAAATTATTATTATTGTGAATTTCATGAAAGTAACTATCAAATTAATTAGTTTTTTAAAAAAATTCACATCCAAAATGACTTGCACTTAACTACATTTACCAAAGTGAGTTATTCATTAGTCCTCTATTTATTCATCATGTTGGCAAAAACAAACAACATGTGGTTCAAGTAATTAGCCACAATTAAATTTTAATTACTAGACTTTAAATTTACTTCTCTCTATTTGAACCCGATTTAATCGATTGAAGATTGACATATTTTGAAATATCCTTTCGGTTCTTATTATAAGACATTTTGATTTGTATAGGTTTCACCTAGTGCATTTTTTCAATTGAGAAAAAATTTTAAAACTACATTTTTACATTCATTATATTCTCCTAATTATTAGAAAATATTTTTAAAGTTTTTTTTTCAATTAGAAAAATATATTAGGTGAAATTTAGGACAAATCAAAATGTCTTATAATAAAAACCGGATAGAGTGCAACATTCTCATAAAATATGAGCTTTGTATTTGTACAGATATTAGAATTTAGATGTGAATTTTATTAGACAGGTGACCCTGCCAAATTAGTAAGAAATCGCGTGTCATAGCCCATAAGTAACACGATTAATTGTATTATATAGTAAATGAGAGTTTTCAATCGACACGTGTCATTTAGTTAGATAGTTCAGAACTTTTTTTGCTACATGTCAAGTTCATAGTCTTTTTATGACACGTGTCAACGCCCGAGATCCCCTTTCATTAAATTGTTAAAATTCTTTGAAAATTGGTTATTTCAATTTACTTTTCACCCATCTTTATTACATTTCATATATATTTAATTATCTACTTAATTAATAATGAAAATCCAACTTTTCCATTGCTAATAATTTTTAGTCTTTTTTATTGGTTGCTAAGAATGATTTTCACATATTTTTAAGCAAGAGTTTATTGTGGTGGATTTTTTTTTTCAAAAAATCATAGAATTTATTCAGTGGATGAAAAACCATCAAATATATATAAAATGTAGTATTTTTTAAAAAAAAATAAAAACAAGCATCATTAGTCTCATAGGTAAAACAACAGAAAGCATATTCACTAAATTGTCACTGAAAAATTATCCTAAAGAAAAACTTGTATATACATTAGCCTCAATAAAGAGAACATAGGGTCAAAACTCGAATTCTCCCCTCAGAATGGCAAGAACACTGTTATGCAATCTCTTCTCACTTCTTCGCCTTCTTTGACCCGTCTGTTGTTGGAGGTTTAAAGGCAGCAGTGGAACCTTCTCACCGGGTCCCTGAGCCAAACGTTCTTCCCTTCGAGCAAGCTAACGAAAAAATATCACTACGGAAATGTATAAAACATAACATATCTTTACATTTATTTATACCTTTTGAGTTTGCTAAAACCTTTATTTTGAGTTTTACTAAATTTATTTGTAAAAAATTACGAAACTACACTACCAAGTTAATTATTATCATTTTTATCGATTATTATTTTTAAAATTTTACTACGAATGAGTCACACTAATATTTTACCTTTCAAATTGAACACTATCTTGAATATGAAATATAAAAAAGGATTAATTTAATTTACACAATAAAACTCGTACAAGAATTATTATATCACAAAATTCGACTCAAACTTTATCATATTACGGCAATAACGCTCGGCTCGCATGTAATCGTATTTTAAAAATCAAGAATAATAACTCATAACTTGTACTAATTTGACTCTTAACCATTTAGGCTAACATAGACATATACCGGGAGGAGATTAACAATCCTTGAATCCTTAGTTCTCCAAACAATGCTTGAATCCTTAGCTCTACTTGCTGATCTTCTGAATCCTCAGCATCCATCCAAATAATCCTTGAATCCGTAACTCTCCCTCCTCTTCTGAAAATCAAATGATAAAAATGTTAGAAATAATAATTTTATTTTGAAAACCAAACCAGAAAATGTTAAGAATACTAAAAATATATACCTCTAAGATATTGTGGCATACCCTCAAATTCACAAGGCTACAATCAAACCAAATAAAAGTTAGTTGTGAGTAACTGAGGCTATTTCTTATTGAAGTAGGAATTAAAGATTCTTACTTCTCCTTTTGCAATCCCTAACAGTCCCAAAAAATCCAAATTAGAAGTTATTATTATTATATATATATAGAAAAATGAAGGGAAAAAATATAAAAAGAAAAAAAAGAAGAAGTCATCCAATTTACCTTTAGGTTTCCATCCAACTCCTTATAATGATTCATTGTGTTTCTAATGTAACAGACTAAACCAATACCATTGTCATCATAGTTCACAATCTGACCTTTTTGTTTACTATCCGATTAAGCAGAGTTCATTGTGGTGGATTTTTTTTTTTTGAAAAAAATAATAGAGTTTATTAAGTGGATGAAAAACCATCAAATATGTATAAAATGTAGTATTTTTCAAGAAAAGCTAACAAAAAAAATATTACCACGGAAATGTATAAAACATTACATATCTTTATATTTATTTATGCCTTTTGAGTTCGCTAAAGCTTTCATTTTGAGTTTACTAAATTTATTTGTAAAAATTTACGAAATTATACTACTGAATTATTATGAATTTTATTGATTATTACTTTTAAAAATTTTACTGTGAATAAGTTATACTTATATTTTACCTTTCAAAATGTACACTTTTGAATATGAAATATAAAAAAAAGATGAATTTAATTTACACAACAAAACTCCTACAAGAATTATTATATCACAAAAATCGACAGAAACTTTATTATATTAAAATGACTTTTGTGGAGTTTGTTGGAATAACCCCGTTCAATCAGACCTTCCTTATAACATATGCTCTTCTGAGAGATGAGACGGGGGACAGCTACCATTGGGCGTTGTGGCAGCTCCGTAGCTTGTACGGCGATGATCTGCATCCGAGTGTCACCGTGACTGATCGAGAGCCTAGTGTATGTGGCACGTACACAACAAGTGCCGTGATGTTGTTAAAGGAATGGCTCGGCACACCAAATGCTTCTATTGAAACGGTCTGACATAGGGTTCACATGTTACTCGAGACACAGCTGACACAAATAAGGTACTAAAGTTCGACGTTACATTCTAAAATATGGTTATAATATTTATTGTGTGTTTAGTTTACTTAAGTAATTTTTTTTCATTCCTTCACAAGGAGAAATTGCAAGAATCAAGGCACAAAATAGGGAGGCAACACAACAAGTATCCTTTCTACCAATTGAGATGCAACGTTTCACACTACTACCTGGATCTGTTGAACAATGAGTTGGAAAGGGCACAGCAACTTGGAGATGATATGCGTTGGGAATGCAATCACTACCTGAAGAAAACTTATGAGATCCCTTGTGCATGTATTCTGAAGAGAGGGTAGTGGAGGACAACGATGTTTTGACTACAAAATGGCTACACCAATTTTGGAGCACACTCGACATCAGTCAGGTTGCAAAGAAGGATGGTTCGGATGATGTCCCTCCTCACAAATTATTGTTCAGGCAGTTAGTGGAAGAATTGGACACTGCTGAGGAGCCAATACAGCCCAAGATCACTAGATTAATGTACAACAAAATTTACCCGGGCCAAGCCGGATCGAAACAACCGCGGGTTAGAAGGAGAGGCAAGGGCAGGCCGAAGAAAAGAGGCATCTCAAAAAGAAAGCAAGACAAACCAAATATCTGGGCATACAGGGACGGCAGTCAGAATGGGACGAACACCAGCAGTTCCAATAAAGCAGGTACCAGCAAAGGTACCTCGGGTCAAGGTGAGATGAACACCAACAGTTCCAGTAGATGCCATATGTAGGGAGCTGAAGATCCTACCGGAGGTCCGATATAAATTTATTTTTCTATATGTCCAAGATATTATTATCATTTAATTCTTATATTTTTTTTCATGGCGTGCGAGCACATGTACCTGGACTGGGTTAGGTGGGAGAAACACCAGCAGTTCCAGTAAAGGTCATGCATCAGAAGGTGAAGCTCATTTCGGAGGTACGATTTATATTTATATTTTTAAAAGACATATTTTTATCATTAAATTCTTATATTTCTTATGGAGATAATGAAAATATTTTACTTGGTAACAGATATGATGCAGACATATTTTTTCACGTTTAGGTATAAGAGTAGAATTCCGTGGCTACTGCACAACTACATTCAGTCATATCGGATGTCCGGCCTGACGGCAATTGTGGTTTTCGCGTCATTGCGAGTTGCATGTTGGGAAGGGAAGATAATCAGGCTTTCTGCAGACAGATAGTGTTCGATGAGGTTATAAATAATCTTGGGCTTTACGGGAACCTTTACGAGTATGACAAGTTTTATTTTGAGGTCCTATTTAATACACTTGCATTAATGTGATTTTATTTAAAACTTTCCTTTACTCGTCTTTGTAGATGGGATAATTTACCTCGAAGCCTAGAGCGTATCAAGTGGACTGGTACAAGCGAAGGTCACTAGACGTCGACAGAGGACTTTTATCCCATTGCTACACATTTCAATGCTGTTGTGTACTACTTCAGGACAAACGATGCTGAAAATCTAAATGGTACATGTTGGACTGTGCTACCACTCATTGCACGGGGCGGGGCAACAAGACCAGAGTTCCAGATCGTTATTTGCCACCTTGAGCCCTACCCGCACTTCATTCGACTCAATCTGGAGGGTGATTTTTCAATTCCACCTATTCACCCCATTTGACATCACGACCGTGATAGTATTGTGGCTGGTTGGGAAATACCTCTTGAACTCAGAATGCAAGTATGGCGTACTTTGGTCCCACCGGATCCCGCGAGAAGAACCACAAGGTCATTTGTTGATCTTGGGTGATATGTTGTTTTGCATTTGTTT